AGGCGCTCAAAGATGTTTGTAAATATGCTAAAGATAAAATTGTAACTCTTTATACGGACTCGCTGTATGTTTTTGGAGTCTGTCATTACTTTGGGAAATTGGGGGAAAAAATAGGACTTTCCGACAGCTACCGGGACTCTGGACAAAAACTCTAAGCTAGTGTCAGAGTTATTGGAAACTCTGTCTCTTCCAAAACAAGTAGCTGTGGTAAAATGAAAAGGTCATAACAAGGAAGACTCCTCGGTGACCAAGGGAATTGCTTTAGCAGACACAGACGCCAGGCAAGCCGCCATGAAATATGGGTGGCCAGATCAGGAACCAGAGATATATTTTATATCATTCGCCTTTCAGTAGAGTCAAATTAAGGAGCTTCAGAAAGAAGCCCCGAAAGAGGAAAAATGGTAATGGTTGGAGAAAAACATAAGGTCGGGGGAAAATGGTTTGTGGGGGTGCCAAAAAGACTGGCCGTTTGGCATGCCCAAAGTAATTGATGCCTTTTATTGTGAGGCAAATACACTTTGTGGGACACCCTGGTGAGAAGCAAATGGTTCAATGGTTCGTACAGAATTGGGCAGGAGTTGGCTTTGCCATATACGCCAGGGAACACACTTCACTGGAAAAGTGTGTCAAGCTGTGTTAAAGAGATGAACAGAACTCTGAAAAATAAGCTCACACACTATCACAAAGAGGAATTCAATGGATGGATGCGCTGGCACCTGTGTTGCGCAGTATCAGGGCAGGCATGAATTGTTCTATCAGTTTAAGTCCTTTTGAGGTGATCACAGGACATCCCATGAGGCTACCAGCCTTACCTAAAGGAACTTTGAGCCTATTAACTGATTGTTTGTTGCAGTATTGACAACATCTGACAGAAGCAGTACAAGGTGCCAGGAAGCAGGTGTCGGAAGCCTGGGGACCACCCACTGAGGAAAGACATGACAGGGATTCCAGGAGAGTGGGTTTGGATAAAAAATATCCCATCTCAGACACTACAACCACATTGGGAGGGCTGCTTCCAAATGCTCTTGACTACCAGCAGTTAAAATAGAAGGATGGGACCGGTGGATTCACGCACCTCATTGTCGATGTGCACCACAACATACAGGAGATTGATGAAATGTTTATAATGCTGTGCTTAATAAGTGTAACTAGGGGGGGGGTGTCTTGTAACCTCATGCACAGTACCGCTCAGACACTGGAGAGCATGACGTTAATACATTCTTGGATCTCTCTTACCAGCTGGCTCGAGACTTTAACAAGAGTTCATGATGGGTGTGTTTAGCCCCAAGTATATAAGAGGGGGGTTTCCTCTCATGCCCATGCCTTACAATTTATCGGACTCTTAGGGGGCTTTGTTGATACTGGACAATATAAGTAATAAGATGGTGGGGGTGTAAGGGACCACGATGTTACAAACACCAACTTCTCCAGCTTTTATTTGCCTACTGTTCAACTGAACGATAACTGGTGGAATTGAAAGAAAAATGCATACTCTTGGCTACCTACTAAATGGAAGGGGAGTTGTTATTTAGGCTTTGGGGTACCATATGAGCGAATACAGACACACAGCCAATTCTCTCTAAATCACTCCAGAATATATCCTAGGGCTATTACCGAGACAGAACGTTTCTTTGCTATAGCATTTCCAGTTCTGCTGTGAATTTACACTTTCGCTTTGGCATGGTGTTTGAGGGTAGGAAAACAAGAAAAAATAGGGAGCCTTTCGAGGGAATGTTTCTGCACTGCACAGACAGAGTAAAGATTGATATTGACTCCCGAATTCACTCTCTCATGACATAATCATACACGTACAGGATAAAAACTGAACAACAACATAGGTCACGATACAACTAGAGAAGTTACGAAATTCTCTCTCTAACTATATTTATAACTTTTGTTAATTATTCTTTATGGTGAAAAATATGGGATCGAAATCCCAGACATTTCTATATATTTGAAAATTCCCCCCGGACGGAGATACAAGGATCAAAATAGAAGAAATGGCCGTGAAAATCCGGATGTATGGTAACCCTAATGGTCACCGACACTAGCTTTTCTGTTGAACCTGACAGATAGCACTGCTAGTGTTAGCAAGTGTTGTAAACAAGGCGGTACACACATATAATTCTTATGTTGCGCTTATGTTGGTCATTGAGATTTTCTATGGTTCCTATGGGAAAATGACTTGTAGGTGGTACTTGGTTCAAAATGTTTGAGAACCACTGATCTAGGAGACCAACATTAATGACATCTCACCATGATCAACTAGGAGGTCCAAGCCTATAGTTTCTTACTTTTCATAAATTGTTGTTATATCTATGAATTCACTAACCTGTGAGAATCTATCAGTTATATTTAAAATATTTAATATTGATGGAGCTTGTTTTATAGCATAATATTGAATTTTTGTTGTAAAAACTTGTTAAATATCGTTACAGCTTTGGGTCACTTGAGAAGTGTCTCTTAGATTTTAAAGAGTTTGTGACACTGGGAAGAGTAAACACTTCTAGCTTCAAAGCATTGAGGATGTTTGCCAAGGTCTGGAGGGGTCCTGTGAGCAGAAACAATAGTTTATCTTGGTATGCCTAAGCAAGTTGTGGATTAATGACTGCAAAGGAGCAGGGAAGAAAGACAGGAGTACAGCTCAGCAAATGGGGGAGGAGCTTTCAATTCAGCCCTGTCATGGGACCTGACGGAGAGGGCTCTGCAACCTGTACACCGAGAAAGCCAAGGCTTTCCTGTTCAAGGCAAAAAAGGAGCATTATGCCAGAAAAAGAGGGTCATCCACAGCCTGAGATGGAAGTGCTGGACGAGAGAGACAAAGTAGAAGCAGTACCCGCTTTCTACAAAGAGCTCTTTTCAGAAGAGCAGAAAGAAGTGGAGGCAGGTGACACTTTTCTGAAGGGGCTGAAGGCAAGAGAACCGGAGGAGGTGAGAGAGGACTTGGAGGATCCGATCACGGCAGAGGAGCTGAAGGCGACACTTTGGTCCATGGAGAATGGCAAGGTGCCAAGACCCGACGGACTCCCCTAGGAATTCTACACCTGCTTCTGGAACACCCTGGGGGCAGATCTGGTGGAAGTTTCCCTTTTGCCGGGGGAAGCTCGGAGACACCACGAGGGAAAGCGTCATCTCCCTGCTCTTCAAGGGAGGCAACGTCACAGACCTCAAGAACCGGAGGCCAATCACGATGCTTTGCGTGGATGTCAAGATCCTGTCCAAGCTACTGACCAGCAGACTGAGGACCGCCCTGCCCCACATCATTAACAGCAACCAGACATGTGGGGTGGAAGGGCGATCCGTCAGCTGGAACCTCCAGCTCACCAGAGACGCCATCACTTGGGCCAAGGACCAGATAGTGCTCATGATGGTGGTCAGCCTGGATCAGGAGAAAGCCTTCTACAGAGTAAACCACAGCTATGTGTTCAGAGTGCTGGGATGCTTCGGCTTCGGAGAGAGTTTCAGCCGCTGGATAAAGATACTGTTCTCTGACGTGGGCAGCAGGGTCAACGTAAATAGAAACTTGAGGCATTCCCCAGGAATCCAGATTCTGTGTTTTTAGGGAACTTGGGTTTCCTGGTACCTCAGTTAGAAACATCTTTTCTGATTAGAATGAATTTTATGAATAGGGATATAGACTCCCATTTATTTTGTGGCATCCGGTGTGCAGAGAGAGAGAGGCTTAACTGTAGGTCGCTTTAGTTAGAAGGCAGCTCATCTCTTGTGTAGACTCTGTAGGCATATTAAGAGTTTAGTGCTTAGTAGCAATCTGGGGTTTTCTGGATGACCAGAATGTTAGGCCTCTGAAATGCCTTGCCTGTAAATACTGTATATAATGTAACTTTGTGTTGTATGTTTTGTGTAGTTTATTTTAATATATATTTGTTTTAACCAAGTGTGCCTGGATTATTACTGCTCTCAACAAAGCTGTGCCAGAGAATAAAGAATTTACGTGCCTCTAGTTCACATAAAAGTTAGGGGTTATGAATAATTATTTCACTGATTGACTAAACCGCTCAGTCAATTTCTGATTTTCACCAGTTTCGTAAATCACCCCCCCCCTCCCGTAACAATATTTAGGTTATTTATTATATTATCATCTTTTGTTTTTACACTAGTATATCAAACTACTTATATCCACTTTAGCAATTCATTTCTTGACACTTTATTATGAAGTTACTTGAACTCTTATCATTTAAAGACAGTGATAATCTTTTTTGCATTCAAGCATTCAAATTAATAAATGCATTCACATAATACACTACCTCTTATGATTTTATAGTAGTAGCCATGGACATTTGTCTTTTTCTGCTCCACAAGACTACAAATTTAACAACTTTCAATGGAAAAAGCATCCTGGTTATATTTATATTCGTGATTAGAAGAGTTAAGTTTTACACCTCCTTTCTCAAACACGCAGGAGCAAACTTTGCACTGAAGTTGGCTGCACATTCGCAAGCCTATGGCTTGTATACTTCTGACGGCATTTGAGTACTAACTCACAGTAAGCACTTAAAACCAGCTAGAAATAAGGAATTGATTTACATTGGCAGTGATACTACTAATCTAAACACTCTTAACTCACTACCAATTAAAAAAGGTGTATAGATTTACTCACAAGTCTGCCTGCCCTAGATTTCCATATTAGGTGCTTAAAGTATTTTGTGGATAAATTATATTGTTGTCATGTATTGCGGACTGATGATCTGACATTTGTTATAACTATTGCAGATAAACAGATAAAACAACCAAACATGTTCTGTAGAGTTCATATTACAGTATAAAATGTAAAATAATGGGATGCTTTACTTTATTCCTTCTATACTTGCAAATGTAATATTTCACAGACTCCTCGAATCACATTGAATTACTATATATATTGTGCTGAGTCATTTGAATTTTGACTCAGCAAAACTCTTAATTCTTGCCATGTCACCTTTCAGGAATGTTTCTGACGTGAATCTGATTTCTTTAGTATGAGTTATTTCAGAATCTCTTACCCATTGCAAAGGTTTGTCGCTTCTCTCATTTGCCCTATCAGCCTGTTCACGATCTCCGACTTCCTCTGGCTATATGTGCTCACTGCTTGCTGCACTGCCATGGGGACCATTTTCTCAAACAGGTCTGGAAAAGCAAAGCAACAGGAAACAGTCAAACATAATGTGTGTTCTTCTGGGAACCCACATCCATTCTCCAATTGAACCAAGACTACAAAATGAAAGTATAACACCGGTGGGAAACAAGAAATGCTGAATGGAAAACAGAAGGCATCAATATTGGTGGCTTTCAAAATAGCATTAAATGACACAATACACCACAACCAGGGAATTACTAAGAATGTTTAAAGCAACTAGCATTCTTATTACATTTCAATTATTTTAAGGGTTAATGATTTAAAAACATCTCTAGAAATGTTAGTTGTCTTATTTTTATTGTATTTGGGTACCACATATCTTCAAGAACTGAAGGCACCCCTTGGACTACATTGTACAGTGCTAATTTAGGTTTCAAAATATTTATGTCCTTTAGTACAAACCAAGAGACTTTACAAACTATATTCAAAAGCTGTCAGATGTAAAAATGCAGAATTTGCTAATGTATGGAATCCCTTTGATTCTTCTCTGAAGATATGGTAAAAAAACAGAAGGATATTAAATAATAGTGACATTTTTGTCAGATATTTATTGTGGACAAGCAATTTATAAAAGTTAAATAACAGCACACCCAAAATGATCCAGGAATACCAAGCAAGGTCACACGGCTTCCATAATGTGCACAATTTGGTGATGGAGAAATGAACATGCAAAGGCAAAAAAGGACAGAAAAATAGAAAAACTAATATTCAGAAAGGTTTAAAAATGGAGTGAGTTCTTAGAGCACAACACACTACAAATACCTAGATAATGAATGTTACATAATTTAGCACACCTTTAAACTGATGCTGAAAATAAAAAAACCTTGGGTCACAAACAGAAATCCATCTAAACGAAACAATGATACGCCAATTAAATCTTATCAGATTTAGACATTTGGATAATTCTGCGAATATTAATCAAATCCCATCCCTAAAGAAGGTCTGATTTTAAATTTTGTTCCTTCAGCATTCATTCATTCAAATTTAGGGGTTATTAAACTCTAATTGCTCTAATCTGGTCTCTCCTGCTTTATGATTTCTGTATTTTACCTCACTTTTATATGTCCCCTTTTAAAGCATACCAGTGACATGAGTCCGAAGCTGGGGTAGGTGGAACATCATGTCTGAACTCATTTGAGGTATGCTTAACAGATCAGGCAAGCCTTCAGGAGTGGAAACACTTCAACACCTCCTCTATCTAGATATTTCGGCCCATACCAATGGTGTGTGGAGTTCCCATAGAGAACACCCCCCAACAGTAATGTCTTATACAGGTGGGTGGACTGGAACAACTAAAGTACAGGGTTGCTCAAGGATACAACAGCAGTGTCAGCAGCAGGCATGGAAAACCACAACCTGTCAGTTAGGAGTCCAAATGCGTAGCTCCAATGCAATTCAACTATCCCCCCTTTTTAAGATAAGAAGGTACTTAAGTCCATATAGTTTGTATAAAGACTTCCTCGCAGAAAAGAATATAAAAATTTTCATACCGGTGAATTTCTGACACATGGGCACATTGATTGCTGTGGCCTTCACCAAAGCAGCTTTGCCAATACTGTCCAGATCCTTCAGATCTGGAACACGATCATGATAGATGAAGTCGTTGTCTTTTTTTGCTGCAGTTAGAGCACGTGAGATTTTATCCGAGAGATCTTTTACATTGACATATTCATCATAGCGCGAGGCCACAGTCTTTACCAAATCCGCTGCATGCTGAAACAAAAAAATTATTAAACAAATCACTTTTGATCAATTCCAACAAAAACCAATAACGCTGTAAATATTTAAAATTATGAACTTAGATAATTAGATTGTCTTTACTTGAGGTTGTGATAAAGATAAAACTGCATCAAAAGGGATTTAACTAGATGACCTAGCAGTTTTAGCAGTTTTTAAATAGACTGAGATATGGGAATTGTTCTAGCTCAGTGGTTCTCAAAGTGTGGTCCGGGAGTGTGTGCCAGGTTGCTTTCTTAAAGCAAGTCTATGCTGTTTAAGTCAGAGGAAAGAATACTGTAGTGTCTGCTATGAAGGGGCTCCCCCTAGGAGCACTGTTAAGAACTACAAAAAAGTGGGAGGAGGGACTTGTGTGATGGTTCTAGATATCAGGGTTTCACCAGCTGTTAAGGGAACTGTGTGTGTCAGTAATGGGGCGAGTCGTGGGCTTGGCTAGCTTAAGGGTCTGCCGAAAGGGCAAAGTTTCCATTAATTGTCCTTGGCTGTACCCTTCTGTTGCCTTTGTGTTTTAATGAAGCTTAAATTATAGCCGACCACCTCGCCTCTTCATTCTCCCCATCAGCACCCATCACTTCAGTGTTTTAGTTTTATGCACCACGAATGAAATGAAAACTGTCATTTTTGTAAAGTGCTTCACAATCGATGCAGATAAAGTAATCTGTGTTTTTCTTCAGTTGTGCTGACTAGCTTGCCAAACTTCTCCCACATGGCTCTTTTGTCCCTCTTATTTTTATCTCACTGTTCTGGAGTTGTGTCCTGATCTTCTCTAACGAGGTTGCCATTATGTTTTTTTCTTTGTAATACACTGTTGTCTGTTTGCAAACATTTAAGTTTGGGGCTTAAATATGATAAAACATCAATTTTAAAACTTCAAATCACTTTAATTTAAGACACAAATGATCGGTTTGCAATATTTTGTTTTTGGTCATATATCAACCAGCACCTGCTAAACCCGATCTAAATCTTTTTTTTTTTTAACCTGAGTCAACCCACGCATCACTAATCGTCATGATTGCGTGGTTACGCTGTTTACATTTTGATATGCGAGTGTGGTTCGACCGTTGCACTTATTTTTGTTTGTACCGTTTTGTTCTTACTTTTGAATATCTTAATTTGAGTTTAAAAGTTCAAAGTGTAATTTAAAGAAGCAGGTCAAAACAGAAGGGTCATTATGGATCACGGGCTCAAATCTGGGACTCTGAAACGCAAATATAGCGACGATAGTGACAGTGCAAGTGCGAGTAAGATGCAGAATAGAAGTGAAAATGTGAGTGAGGTAATTTGTGCACCATACTAGCAGTGCTGTAATTCTAATTCCAACAGCTTGATAAATGTGATGTGCAAGGAAGCAGAAGTGTGGTTGATGTGATTTCTTCTGGACATGAGACTTGTCCAGCTTGGATCCAGATATCACTTCTCAGATTGCTCAACAAAAGCAGCTCATTTCACACCTCTCTGCACCCATTGTGACTTCACACCTCTTGATTGGCCTCTCTTTCTGTCCCCTGCTCCTACCTCTCACTCCTCGTCCCTCCTAACCTTTGTTCTCCCGCTACTTTACCTTTGCCTACTGCCCTATCTCTCTCACACCTGAAGAAGGCTCCATGGCCGTAACGTTGTGTTCTCTTTTTTTTCAGCATGGAATAAACCTATTACTTGTTCCTTTACAACCTGCACATGCTGACGCAGCTACCCACCTGAACTACTACCGCCTACAGCTGCTGCGACCCACTATGCCTTCCTCCAAATCTTTTTCTAGATCTCTTCATCATACCTTCTCTTCCTCCCTGGGCCACTTGCCCACTTCTCTCACTAAACCAGCATTCCATCTCTTCACAGTTATCTGTTCCAAGACCAGGCTTTCTAACCACCTTCTATTCTATAAGAAATTTGAGAACTACTGTTCTAACCAATCAATTTCCTTTGGCCTTTCTTATGATCCTCAATCAACCATAACCCACCTGCCACTGAATCTGCATTTAGTTTCTAACATTTTGATGTGGAAGTGAAAGAAAGTGTACGGATGCAAAGCTTGCCAAGTTATAAAAAGCAGGTAATTATAACATTTATCAATAAGTTCATCATAGACCCAGTATATTCAGTTCTGCTTTCTGGTTACTTTGTTGCTTATAGTTAAAACTGTTAAACTATAGAACGCAAAAAGCAATATAAATTATTTGAGCCAGAAGCTGCATTAGCGTTCGGGATGGAAAGGAACAAGCAAAGTTTACATTTCTACTTTTCAGTATGCAAAAATGTAAGAGTAATTTGTAAAATGTCTGTCATTCATATTGCATAAAACATATATCCATCCATTTTGTAAACCGTATTATACCATTCATGACCTGTCTCCATATCACTGTAATCTGAATACATAAACAACCCCAGTTGTCCCTAGACAACACCACACAAGGAACTTTTAAGGCACTAGAGAGGAAAATATACTGAGAGACACAAAACCCCCAAGAGTTTATAATAACTATGAATTTCATGAGAAAACAAAGCAGGAAAGAACGTTGTACAATTACAATAACTTTGGTACATCTTTATACTTAATACTATTTTGGACTAAAGTACTGAATTAAGACACAAGATGTAAAAAGGGTTAAATTAGACTTCTAAGCAACAGGGGTTTATGGCAGGAAAGGGGGTTAACTGACAAGGATTCCAGATGCGAGCTAGGAACCCCCTGGGGGCGTAATCTTAAACTGACCATTTGGCCAGGGTCTCTTAACTTAATACCATGACCCCCCCTTACCATAACACCGAATGACGTCTGAAGCAGCAGAAGGACTATATAACCTAAAAGTTTGTACCGGCACATCGAACAATACTTCGGTTTTGTTGTTTCTTGCGGGAAACAAGACTTCGGCTTTATTGTTCCTTGCATGCATTATAGGCATCTGTTTAACTTCATCTCGGGATCCAGAACCTTATTCTTTCTGTTACAACAATTTTGGCGTAGACGGCGGATGCTCCAGCAGGCACAGAACTTCCCATCGGTAGGAGAGACGGTCAGCGCTCACATTACTAAGAGGTAAGGACTCTTCTTTTTAAAAAAAAGTCCCGACTCTCTCTGACCGATTGGGAAGTCTCTGCTCCCTGCGAGAATCGCCCGAGATGACGGAGTAAACGCGAGTTCCTGAATTCCTCTGACCCGGGGAAGACACCGGTGTATGTAATGGGTGGTTTGCTGTAAGCCAAGAAGTTGGTCTGGCAGGCGGTGATTCGCGGTATTGTGTACAGGTGTTCGAAACTGGTGTATGCCTTAATTGCGCGTGGAGTTTTTTAACGGCTTTTGGACCTTTACCGCGAAATTCAGGGCCTTAATTGCACCCAGGGTTCTGAAGCCGTGTGGTGCATTAAATGCACGTAATTCTGGACTGGTGTCGGCCTTAATTGCGCCCGGAGTTCTGAGGCTCAGGATCGGTGTGGGCCTTAATTCCGCCCGGGGTTCTGAAGCTGAGTGGTCCATTAAATGCACCTATAATCCAGGATTGGTGTGGGAAAAGTGTAAGTTGACGGAAAAGAAGGATAAAAATATGGGAAAAGCTGAGTTTGTCAAAGGGAGTTTGGGGCGAAGATGCCTGTAAAGAAAGCATATGCGTATTGATTGGCAAAAGCACAAGCATGTAGCTCCCACCCTGGTGCATGGCCGCCACCAGTGGTGGCAGATACATGAGAGAAAAAAAAAGAAATTGGGATGTGACTTCTTAAAAGTGTGTTTACGGGGAAAAACAAAAACCAGAAAGAAAAGATACTTTACTCGCTACGAAAGAGTATGACAAAAGCGAAAAGAGGCAGTACAGGAGAATCAGAAACTAAAAGAAGAATTAGTTCCTGGTCACACAGCACTAGTTAATGTGTTATATCCTGCTCTCCCATAGGGGAACAGACAGCCAGGAAATGAAAATAATTGGGATCAATTCCCATAGTGACCATATGGAGACGGGGAGTGGGATGACACCTGGTACGAGTGTGATAGAGACGGAACAGGGACTCCCTTCTTAAAGGGAGGGTGCCCGCAGACCTGTACTCTCACCCAAAGTGGGAAAGGACTTGATGTAGCGGGGGCTGGTGCTGTTGATGACAGCGTCACTCTAACTGTCTCGCACCCCGTCGAGGGGGTCCGCACTCGCACCTACCTTCCTCGATTCCCCCATACGATCAAATCCAAAACCGGAAGATATTGACCGATGGGCTAAAGTACCGCATCCGAAATTAGGAATGCAGTGAACCTGGAGTGCGCTTCAGGAATTAAAAGGATTCATGTAGAAGTGAAACAAGAATAAAGCACATTGTAGTACGAAGAGAAAAATATATTCTCGATGTGTATGTGTGTTTTATGAATTTGTGTGCTGGCATGAATGTGTGTAACTGTGAGTTTTGGTATACTAAATGACGGTGTGAGTGTGTTTAGCCAGCGGGACTGGCTAGAGACGTAACTGAAGAGACGATGAAAATCAACTTAAGGATATTAGAAAATATAAGAGCGTCTGAAACGTATAAGTACAGTACAGGTGGACGTAAAAGGAGTTAGATAAACAGTTTTTGTATGTATATACAATTACTTTTAATAGTGGAAACAATTTGGATTTATTCGAATGTCTCGAAACCAGACATGCTGAAACGCTGTAGGTTTAGAATCGAGACTGGGGAGTATAAACAGTCTTGTGAGAAGATCTGTTTACCGAACGATTAGATCCTGTAAATCCCTTGTAGCCTCCCTAAGTCTGTCCCAGTCCAGTGGATAAAAAAATACTGTTAATGGGGTCTTGGTTTCTCTGTTAGGGGATACTGGAGCACTACTGTCATGCTTGTTTCACTCCTCTGTTCAACAGTGTGCTATAGAGTAATGTACGTGGGGAGACGGCAGGAGGCCACAGTATTTGGGCAGCAAGTTTTACTTGCCGAGTACCAGATTTTAACATTCATGTGCACGTATCACGCGAATGTGGGTGGTTTTATCCCAGATCTAATGGGCTGGAATATTATGCATTACAAAGAATGACTATCCAGACCAGGGTGTCACGTGGCTTCAACTGACTGTGATCACTCAGTATGCTGATGGTATTCTGAGTGCTTCCCCTGATGAGGAAACCCACAAGTCTGAGTTGCTTCAGGTTTAGAGTGTCTAATAGAAGCAGTTATGATAAGGCCCTTTTGTGTCTAGCATTGTGTAATTTTAACAGGGCCTGGGTGCAATGTTTTTACAGGGTGAGCACAACTTTTAACAGATCTGCTTAAGGGGGGAGTGCAGTACAAGGACAAGATTGCCTTGGTTCCAGCAGCAAAAGCCGCCTGTAATAATTTGAAACAAGCTCTCTTACAGCTGCTGAAACTGGGGTTTCCTCAGATGGATCAACCATTCCTTTGTATGTAAGTGTGGAAAAAGGGTTCTGGGCAGCTGTGCTGACGCAGGAGCATGGAGGTAGGCACTATTATATCATTAGATGCTGTAGCCAAAAGGTGGGAGACCGTGAAAGTATTACATTTTCTTAAATTGTTTACTGATGGGTCCTCTCTGATGCATGAGGGAGAACAGAGAACAGGCTAAGCTGTTACAACAGAATTCAAGGCGCTAACAATCGGAAAAATGCCCCTCCACTGCCTCAGCGCAGCAAGCCAGTTAAGAGCACTGATGGAAGATTGTAAAAATAAAGATGTTAAAGGGTTACTGTATATGTATATAATGTATGTATTTGTTGCACGTAGGCCACAATTCTGGATGCCTATGGAGAAATAGGATCCTCTCACAACGGCAGGGACTCCAGTTAAGAATACTTGGCTTGTCTCTGAACTGATTTGTAGTTTTACAGCTGCCGACGGAAGCAGCTTGAGTAAGGTGTAAATAACACAACACAATAAATAAAGAATTCCAGTAACTCAAGGAAACAACCATGCAGATGCAGATGCCAGACGAGCGGCACTGGGAGAGCGGGAGTCTGAGACCCCTGTGAAACCTCTATTGGGGAAAAGGGAGAATTCAGGTTGAGGCCTTTAATAGATGTTTAATAGTGGTTAGAAAAAATGTGTAAAGAATGTGGGGTTGTATGATGATGGGGTGTAGGCTGGCGCATACCCAAGTGTATGACAAAGATGATCCTGTGGTACGGACTGCCCTGCCCCTTGGATGCTGATCTAGGGGCATACTACACTGGGAAGGTGTGCCAGGCTGTAATTGCCTCACTAGGGGTAAGTTGGAAGTCACATTGGCCCCATCACCTACACTCTGAAAGACCAACTAAGGAAATATCAACTGAAGGAACACCGTGGGTAGATGCTCTACCTGCGGTCCTGTGCGATTTGCGGGCTGGAGCAAACGGAACTGTGAGACTGAACCCATTTGAGATCATCACAGGCAGCCAAAAAAACTCCCTGGTGGCCAAGTTTGGCTAACGGACTGTTGAATTAACTAACTCTCTATTACAGTATTGTAGGTTTGTTAACTGAAGCGATGCACAGGACTCGTGAACAGGTGCTGGACGATTAGGGACCTCCAGTAGAGGGGAGACACGACCAGATACCTTGCGAGGTGGTGTAGGTGAAGAAGAGATACCCTGCCAGACGTTGCAATCCTGCTGGGAAGGACCATATCAAGTGCCTAACTAACTACTGACTGCCATCTGAGTGACAAGATGAGATCGCTGGATCCCCGCATCGCACTTTCACTGACCCACGGCACCAGAGACTGAGTGAACAGAAAGAAGGATGTTGTTACCGTTTCTGTGTCTGATGCTTCCTAAGACCAACAGTGTGCTTGTTAGGCCTGAGGGGCATTACTGGGGATATGGTATCAATACATTCCGGGTGTTGGCATATCTATCAGCCAAAAAATGATAATCAGAGTTGGGTCAATATTGCTATTCCAAGATCTTGACAATAGATCTCCACATGGCTGAGGTCTGCGTTTGGTTCCTGGGGTAGGACTTTATGCATTTGTAGGATTAGGGTTGTTTGATATGTATAATTGTAACTATCACTTATACAAAAACATCAATAACATCTTGTTGTAACCGTGGAAGGCACAATGTCATGGTAATGCATGCCTGTACATCTAAAAAGGAAAGATCTGCCCTGACATTGTATGTGTAAAAATAGACAGTCCTGACGTATGCCATATTTTATAAGGGGGGAATGAAGTAAGAGACAAGATGTAAAAATGGTTAACTTAAGTCAGTTCTGCCTGAAAATTAGACTTCTAAGCAACAGGGGTTTATGGCAGGAAAGGGGGTTAACTGATAAGGATTCCAGATGGGAGCTAGGAACCCCCTAAGGGCGTAATCTTAAACTGACCATTTGGCCTTATCTCTTATCAAGCCAAATACCATGACCCCCCCTTACCATAACACCGAATGACATCCGAAGCAGTAAGGAAGGACTATATAACCTAAAAGTTTGTACCGGCACATTGAACAATACTTCGGTTTTGTTGTTTCTTGCGGGAAACAAGACTTCGGCTTTATTGTTCCTAGCAAGCAATAAACTCAACTGTTTAACTTCATCTCGGGATCCAGAACCTTATTCTTTCTGTTACAACAGTACTAAATAAAAGCTTTAAAGGAAAAGCAAAAATTTGCTACAACCTATTAATTAATTGGTGGACTGCTGGTTAAATTTAATATGCCCATGCCACAATTTCCAGTGTACTTACCTGTAGTCTGGCAATTTCCTCCCCAAATTTCTTCTGCTGCTTTGCTAGAATGGACTGGTGATATTCAGCATTAGCCTGCATGATGCAGTGCTTTGCAGCCAGGATTGGCAGCACCTCCTGGAAATAAAAATACTGACCAGGGTCCAACCACAAACAACCACAGACAACATGGGATGCAGGAGAAGGATAAAGGGGAAAAGAAAAGAAAAGGAAATGAGAATTAACAGTTATAATGTTTAGATAGGTTAAATCATTAGGAGTAAAAACCAGAAGGAGATAAATCATTGGCTGGAATTGCAGACAGAAAGGTTAAATTGCCCGTTTTTCAGTCAATCACTTCCAAGTGTTTTTTCAAAGGAAGCAACAGAAACATTAATTTGAATAATTCAATAATTTTGCAGTGACAAATTGCATCACAGCAAAACTAAGAGATTGGATTAGAATAGATTTTATATCCGATATTAAGATACAACAAATTATAAACTAATGATTTGAAAGCATTTTCAAGGACTAGTTTAGGCAAACAAAACTGTCATTCAAGCCAATGTCACCTTTGCCCAAAGACTTTTAGAAAGGGAATGTTCATGCATTAATAAATCCAGTGTAATACTACACCTGTTTTAGAATATTAGAGGCCATTCATGTTTTTTTTTCTTTCTTGTCAGTGTTAAAAAGATTAATACCTTTAAGACTTGATAATACTGTTATGAAAATATACAGATATATTAAATGTTTGTTTAATGCAAAAAATTGTTTAATTTGTTGTACCCTGTACAGACAGCGATGACACTATTTGTCATGTGTACTGCTAGTTAATGCATCAATTTGAAAAAATATATATTTTGCAAATGATACACGTTTTTCAAGAAAAAAATTAAATGACCTGAAATATTTCCTATTATGATTTTATTAAGTTCATGAAAAAATAGACAGTAAAAGATATCACTGAAATGCCCGTCCACCAGAATAAAAGAGCACCAGGTCTCCTCTCCAGCTACTCTGTAGCTTTCACTTTAGTCAACAGTCAACTCTCCATATTGAAACATTATTGTTTACTCTGCACTAACACTACAAAAGACCAAAGAGCAATTCCCCAGAATGTTACATGAGGTAACTTGTTGAATAGAAACTGAAAGGGATTAGCAAAAGATAGCAAAGACAAGTTCAACTAGAGTATACTGAATGTAAAGGTATAGTCAAACCAATGCTATTTCATTTTTTTAGTCAAATGTTTATCTAATAATATCAAACAGAAAATGCTGTGTGCTTATGTTTCAGCCTCCATACCAGCAAAACTGGCAAACATTTGTAATTTACTGTCATACTATTTAGCATGTATACCCAGATTAGACACTTGTCCTATTTTAGATTATTTAAACATACAGTCAATATCTAGTTTACCAATATCTGTGAGGAATTCTGAGAGCTTGAATATGATCATTTCATATGATCATGTATGCAGTGTTCTTGGTTCAAGACTTAAAGGATTCACCTCATTTAGCATGTCATAATAGGACACTCCTTCAAACGTGGGAATGTTTTTCATTGCTTACAGACATTTTTTGGGACCACAATTTACACATTCATTCAATAGTTAAGATCCTATAAACATGGTAAATATCTAGGACCTAATTTCCGAAACATTTAATGGATTTAAAAACAAAAAAGAACAAGACATGTTCAAAATAGCTACTTTCACACTGAAGCACTGTTGTTTAACTGTTTTGGTATAAAGAGTTATGTTGGTCATAATTTTTGTCAGGCTAAATAATGGATTTTGTAATGGCCCACTAAATAATAGTGTACATTAATTAAATGAGTGTACATGATCCTTTCCGATGTGATATGACATGGAAGCTTAAATGCACAGCTACGTACCTTGGGTAAATTCTCCTTGTACTGGCATTGCTTAAATGCATCTCCGTAAAACTCCGCTGCTTGATTGGCAAGTTTTGCTATAATAGCATCTTTCATTTTATCTGCAAAACAATCACAAAAAAAGAGAATACAAATCAGAAGTGCCCATAGGCTTTTGGCCCAGTCAACTCATTTGGTTGCTAGTAGACGTGTGACCAGAGGATCTCATATAGCCATTTTGTGGAACACAGCAGATTTAGTTTTAACAGTATGGCCAAGCCCCGAGTCCTACAACTCTTTGTGTAAAAGTGTCCCCTGTATCTCCCTGTAGCTTTCACTTCAGTCAACAGTATGAGCTATCTTTAGACTTCACAATGAAGTTAGTAAATTAGTAAATTCAGTAAGGCAGTAGATAACGCATAAGTCCTCCTGATTATTTCAGTGTGTACTCTTTAGAAGTCCAATGGGTTGATTCTGCCAGTACCTTTGAGGATTTTGAGTGCTTGAATAAGATCTCTTTGCAGTGTACTTTCAGATTAAAGACTAAAAGGATTCATTTCATTTAGCACAACAGGACATTCCTTCAAGCTAAGGAATGTTTCTGACTACTTTTACTTTTCGAACTGATTCCAAAGCAGTATTTTTTATAGGGTTAAAATCCGATTTTTAATACAGTGCAAAATGTTATACAATTCCCTCAAAAGACACAGACTCAACATCCCCTCATTTAATTTGTTTACTTTTATCAACTTTTTACTGCATACCCTACCATTTTTATTAGAATAGAATCGTGTAACTAAGCAGCTAAAATATCACAGGTTGACATTTTGGAAACATTTTGACATCCATTTCTTTTTAAAAAACTTTTATTGACCTTGCAGTGGTAATGAACAAAGCAATGCACCCAATGGTTCAAAGCGCGATCAGAGTATTACTTTTGGTTTGTTTCTTATATAGTGAATATATAAAAACAGTCCACTTTTATATCTTGTTGCTGGCTACGGTGTGAATTTATGTATCTGGATAAATAAAGCGATGGTTTTGTAATTAAGGATTTTCTCACGAAATTCTTAAAGTTAAACAAAAAAGGGAAGAAGGGTTATTTTTACAATTGCCACTCTGAGATTCTGACTGATTTGATTCCCCTGTCACAAACCTGTCTCATACAGTGATATAGACGTGAGTAATGTCATCCCCATTAAAAAATATGCTTATCGCACAAATCCTGCAAATCCTGCTAAACTAGAAGCATTGCAGAAGGTGATAAACTGTATATTATTTACTGGAGCGCAGTTGAGTTCAAGGAATGAAGTCTGTGTAGCCCCCGTTTATTGGTACCAAACATTGATGAGACGTCACGGTTTTGTACAGATTACAGAAAAGTGATCGCTGAAACTCCACCAGACTTCGTATGTACTGTTTACATACGAACCATATTCAAGGACTTTGCTTGAGCTTGCGCTGTTCCCTGTAACAGGGTTACTCCGTGGAAATTAAACACAAGATTATTGAAGTAAGACACAAGATGTAAAAAGGGTTAACTAAAGTCAGTTCTGCCTGAAAATTAGACTTCTAAGCAACAGGGGTTTATGGCAGGAAAGGGGGTTAACTGATAAGGATTCCAGATGCGAGCTAGGAACCCCCTGGGGGCGTAATCTTAAACTGACCATTTGGCCTTATCTCTTATCAAGCCAAATACCATGACCCCCCCTTACCATAACACCGAATGACATCCGAAGCAGTAAGGAAGGACTATATAACCTAAAAGTTTGTACCGGCACATCGAACAATACTTCGGTTTTGTTGTTTCTTGCAGGAAACAAGAGTTCGGCTTTATTGTTCCTTGCATGCAATAAACTCATCTGTTTAACTTCATCTCGGGATCCAGAACCTTATTCTTTCTGTTACAACAGTATTATTGGACAATGTTTTGTGGCTCTGGCAGAATTTCTCTGTAAACTGAAGAGTTATAGAGAAGACATTGTGCATCGCCTCTTTTTACACTTGTAAGAACATTCCAATTTTAATGCAACACGGAAGATATTATTAATAACCTTTTAAATCTGAAGCTGTTTAAGAAAATGCTTTCAGAGAAAACTGTTTCAGGTGAGAAGAATACAGAGCCCCAATTCAATTGCAGCCTAAACCTTTCCCCGCACACCTTGCCCCTGCAGCAATTGGAATATACACAAAGGTGTTTCGCAGACATAGGGATAGTACGTAATTCTGGCTTTTTTTTTTACAAGATGTGGAAGAAGTGCAACAAATTATTTTTTTCTAATGCTTTTAAAAAAACAGAAGCTGTAGAACAGTCTTTATGGTTAGTGGACAATGCGCTATTTTGTCAGCAACCTCCTGATCTGCTTAACACCTGTAGAAAACATTATTTTATTTCTGTACAAAATGCATGTTGTGTTTACAAAATTAAAGTGTTTAAAATGTTTAATTAAGAAGTAAAAAGAACTTACACAAAGACTCTAAGCTGTTTGCGTGAAAGGAAAACCACCCGTTCTTCGTGCACAAAAAGTGTTTTTAACTGATTTATATATATTTTTTTTCATGTTGATTTAAGCATCCTTCTTTCAGTTGGATTGCATGATTAGCACGAAACAACTCGGGGTTATTATTATGATTTCTCTATTATAGAATCCCTCAACTCATTCAGTTGTGATTATTTTAGAAATATTTTGACACGTTCCTTTTAACCACATTGCTGTCTATACTGTTGCAATAGACAATGAAACTCTTGGAGTTTGTAATGTCGGGCGCTCTGAATGAGTTAAAACTTTGATGCGGTAAAATAAATGTATTTCCCACAAGCTATACTGTAGTGGCTTTTAAACTATACAACATCACGCAGCATGCATGTGGCACATCTTTGTTCAAATTTTTAAAACTACTGTATAGAAAAACAAGTCTTAAGAAAAAATAGGACATTTGATTGCTGGTTCCGTTATGTTAAAGAGCAACAATGACAACAGAGCATGCTACTGAAAATTCAATCCCATCCACCAGAACTGGGAGAACTGTCTATTCTACGTGACAAACACAGCGTGGTGTAACACCTAGCCTCATCTTCATGAGAAGTACAGAACTGCGTTACATAAAGTGGCTGCAATGGAATATACTCGTAGGTAAAAGTTAATTCCAAGCTGGAAAGAAAAGACTCAACGTGTCTCCTCTATAAATCTTCAGCTTACAGACTGTCCAAGGTCATTTATTATTAATAATATCTTCCATATTGCATAAAACTGGAATGTTTTTTACAAGTGTAAATCCACCTATTTTCTAACCGCTTTATCCAGGACAGGTAACAATTTCACGAATACTATTTGGTAATAGTGATATTTAGAAATATAAAAAAATTCAATATAGTGTCCATAATATTTACCATTTTAGTTTTTCAAAGAAATGTTTAATTGTTACAAGAAAGCTCATGCAGGGGAGCTGGGTTCGAACCCCCGACATCCAGCATGCGAAACACACGTCAAAGGCATTACACCAACGCACCACTTGACAACTTAAGCAATAACTGAAAAGGTCAGGCAAAATGTTTCCAAGTAATCGCAGGTGAATGAATCAAATTGATGCAGATGCTTACAAAGAAAGTGGACTACATTAATAATTTGAGCTATATGAAAATAAATAAATCCTTAAATATCATTATTAATTTCTTTAGATACGCAATTCCATATTATATTCCCCATTAATCAAATTCTAAAAAGCATTCTTTTTTTACTACGATAATGAGCACAAATATTCATAGAAAATGTTAAAACATTTTAACTTTTTAGGAAATATATAAACTTAAAGTCAGAATGAGCGTGTAAAACCTTTTCCAAAATAACCACAGTATGTAACCAAATGGAAGACTTTGATGCTTAAAATGTTTAGGAATAAAGTCAAATACTAGTATGTATTTTTTATTCAAAAATACCAATATCAGCCATATACAGTTTACATAATGTTTATATTTCTAAATTAATATTATTTATGACATTCAGAAACGTAATGCTCCTGTTATTTTTGTGCTCAGCTACCAAAATTTCCATTTAGTTGTAAAATTCCATATTAATATTCAATATTAAGCGGATTTAAACATGCACATTAAAGAGATTAAATGAAGCAACTGGTTCACTAACAACCAATGCACCACGAGTGCCACCTGTCGATCATTTTGGCCAGTCAATTACGTACTGCAGTATTCCGCACTATTCTGCAGATAATTTCACGCAGTATGGGGTTTTACCATGCATTTTGAATGGCTGCATCTGTATGTTTGTATGCTTCTCAACCATTCAAATTGGTACTACTTTATTTATTTCTAATCCGAAATCTAGAGTTTCTCTACAGTGTATGAAACATGCAACTACCAATCACTGTTCCCATATCTTACTTATTATATTCTGCAGCTGTTAACTTTTTAACTTAAGTTAACTTTAACATTAACTTTTTTAACTTATTAAGCTGCACTGATTAACTTTATATTTCCCATTTCCTTTCGCTTATTTACAATTGCTCTGGATCACCATACACTGTTCTTCAGGGGCAGCAGGTCAGTATGGATAAATTAAATTCTTCATTTACAGCAGGAGATCAAGAAATTGCGTTCCTGCAGTAAGCTGTGCTGCCAGGATGCCAGGATCAGGATTAACAATCAGGTGAGGGCAGCAGTAGAATGTTTTGCAATGACTCACTTTAAAAAAAAAGTGAAACATACATTATGTAAGAATATAAAATTACAATAAAATCACTGTTGACATACCTGATGTGGCTTTGAGGAAAAAAACCTCTTGTGCCTGGGCCAGCATGATATGACTGAGGGTCCCCACAGTGTCTGGAGATATGTCCATGGTGGGCTCACGGTTCAGAGCAGACAGCACTGTGTCTTTGATGTGGGAGAATGCTCCACTGGCCAGCTAATTTAATTAAGAAGAGAGAAAACAAAATTAATTGTTCCTTAAGTTCTTATCTACCACTAACATGTCAGACATTGTCTCCAATTGTTTTCTGTGAACTAAGAGCACCTTTTGCATTTAAAATAATTAAAATGTTATCATGATGTGTTTCTATTATCTGGTTATAAACAACATTTTTCTCAACAAATCATTTGCTGGACTTAGATCACAGCTCATTTAAAATTGCAACTGCTTTCAATTTGTGAAAAGTGTTAAAGACACTCTTAGCATATCTAGTGATCTTAAAACCACTGACTCAGATTTTATCAAGTTATCAAGACTGAGCATTAATAATAAACTTTATTTTATATAGCGCCTTTAAAGGAGGCTTCTCAAAGCGCTTTACAGAACGACAACAACAATAAACAAAAAGAATACACAAGATAAAACACAATTACAATATACATAGGAGACCGTGGATGGTGGTACTAAGAAAAGCAGAGGGGTGAAAAATGGAACCAGTTAAGTAAAGGTTTTTCTAAAGAAGAAGGTTTTGAGTCTGGATTTGAAGGAGTTTAGAGAAGGTGACTCTCTGATATCCTTGGGCAAAGAGTTCCAGAGCTTGGGGACATACAGTAACAGGAGAAGGCCCTGTCACCCATACAATGTAGACGGGCTTGGGGGACAGTAAGGAGACCAGAATTAGAAGAGTGAAGGTTGTGAGGTGGGGAGTAGGGCGATAATAGTTCAGACAGGTACTGAGGTGCCAAACCATGCAGAGCCTTGCAGGTGAGCATGAGGATATTAAAGTCCACACGGAATTTGACAGGAAGCCAGTGCAAGAACTCCAGGATAGGAGTAATGTGATCATTTGCACTAGACCTGGTCAAGATTCTGGTTGCTGAATTTTGGACATACTGCAGTGTTCAAAGTAGATTTAGATACCCCAGCGAGTAGAGCATTACAGTAGTCAATTCGAGAGAACAAATGTGTTGATCAGCTATTCAGCCACAGTTAGTGATAACATAGGGTGTAGTCTAGTGATATTTCTGAGGTGAAAAAAGGTGCTTTGACAATATGCTGCACATGTGGGTCGAAATTTAAGCCAGAATCAAATAAAACTCCAAGGCCTTTAAATTTAGATTGAAGCTCAAGAACAGAACCATCTACAGATAGGGTTACAGGATTGGCTTTACGAAGCTGATGGGGGTGCCAATAAGCATGACTTCAGTCTTGTCGCAGTTAAGATGAAGGAAATTTTGAATCATCCAAATTCTTATGTCCGAGACGCAATCAGATAGAAGCCACATCAGTGTCAGGTTTGGTATGGATGTATATTTGAGTATCGTCAGCATAGAAATGATAGCTGAGGCCATGTGATCTTAAAAGCTGACCAAGTGGAAACATGTAAATGCTGAAGAGCAAGGGGCCCAGTATTGAGCCCTGAGGAACACCAGACTTAACAAGTCCAATTTCAGACCTTTACTCATTAAGAGAGACAAAGTGACAGCGATCAGTGAGGTAAGATTTGAGCAGTGTCAGAAACTCCAAACACAGTCTCAAGACAAAAAAGTAAGATGTCATGGTCAACAGTGTCAAAAGCAGCACTGAGATCAAGTAGGATGAGTATAGAAAGAGAACGAGAATCAGAAGCTATTAGAAGATCGTTAGTGACTTTGATCAGGGCAGTTTCTGTGCTGTGAAGTATTGGAGGGGTTCAAAAAGCCAGATTGGAGGGGTTCAAAAAGGTTGATGAGATGGTTATGTAACTGAAGTGTGACAGCACGTTCTAGAATTTTTGCAAGAAAGGGTAAGTTGGAGATGGGGCGAAAATTGTTAAGGTTGTCGAGAGCCATGTAAGGCTTTTTTGGCACGGGGGCAATGCCAGCAGTTTGGAGGACCGTTGGTAAAGTGCTCTAAAAGCACTGTTGGTACATTAACTCTAAAAGCTTTAAAATGAACTGAAAAATATCTCTAAAGACCATTATAACAACAGAAAAGTTTAGACAAGAATGAAAAAAAGATGGATGAGGTGTGTAGCGGTAATGCTTATTAATAAGACAGAATTAAGTGTTGCTATGCCTTTCCCAGTGAAGCCTCTCTTTCATCTATGTGGTCAAAGCCACAGAGAAGCCATTCATGTGCTTACTAATTTAGGAATGTTTGTCCTCCTGATAAGGAATAGCTCCCAGGATAGGGATGCAACCAGCGCTATCATGATGAATGGCCATTCTTTGCGCCTGGGTGTCTAGAAAGACTCTAAGCACATCTGGATTGCGGTTCTAGATTCGGAGGTCATGGCCAGTCATTCCTCAAGTTGACCAACCAATCAGAAACCTGCAGCGCGTGGTAACCCCACATGTCTGGCAAATTTTTGACCAATCACCAGCCGTATTGTTCCCCGTTAAAAAGTGATAATAGACTTTAGAATTGCTCCTCCGCCCGCTCTCACACTCTCTCTCCAACTTAATCACGTGACTGCCAGCATTGTTATCCGTGTGCGGGACTTGCAACTTTGTTCCAAGAACCGAGCCAGAGGAAATCCGTACGTAGAGATGGAATTCTGCCTGGGGTCAAGCCTGCAGCACAGAACTCGTGAACGCTAGCAGACCACCGTTGTGGTAAATAAAGTATCTGAATACTTTATTTAGAAGTAGCCACTATGCCATGAGCAAACCAAGTTCTCCTTCCCTCAGTCTCCCCCACGACTCGGACTTACACCAGGACTGGTTGGGCACAGAGCTAGAACCGTGCGGATTGGATTGGCCGCTGCAACAGAGCCTGCCAGCTGTTACTTTGTGTCTGTTCTGGGAGATATCAATCCGTACTGGATAAATAAATCCAGTATTCTACATTGCCGATTAGGCATTCAATTGCATCTTAACACAGGTTGATATTAATTTAACTCATATAAGCAATGCATTAACTTTTAAGTATCTAATGTAGAATCTGTATTAATGAGACTGATTAACGAGATAGTATATCGAATGGTATACTAAATGCATATTTCCCTGTTTTGTAGCTCTTCCTTATTATATATATCTTATATCTTGGCAACCCTCACAATAAGATCTGCCATTTGTATCCAAGCAGACTGTTATGTTTTTATATGCACAATTTGATGTATTAATAAATGTATTTTGTGTATTTGAACCCATGTGTGTGTATTGCTGATTGTTCTAATGACTGATTCCCTAATAGCTATAAAGAACCACCTCGCAATTTACCTTTACAATTAATAAATTGTCGCAGTAAATTCACAAAACTCCTACAAGTGTGAAGATCCTGATATTTCTAAATATCAAACAAGATAATTAACATATAGATTATGAGGGCAAAAACTGCATACTTCCTGCTAGTTAAGAGAATTCTGAAAGCCTAGTATCATTTCTATATTGTGCTCTCCTGTTTTATCTAATTATTCAAATCTAAATAAAAAATAAAGTTTTTATTATTTATTTATTCAGTCTATTATTAAACTTATCCAAAAATAATTATATAAGCCATTTTGTTCTAAAACACAAAACGCATCATTTAGATTACATGACAGAGAATTATTTAGCTTTTAAGAAATAGTAATGCATCCCAACCATATCTTTACCTCAGACAAATAAAGACAGAGCCTGTGAAAGCTGTAGCTACTACTTAATAGAGCTGTAAGGAATGAGCAATAAGATTTATTTATACCTGCTTGAAAATAATAGTAAAAATATCCCAGACATGTCAGAAAAAAAAACATTTTACATTTTTAAAAGACTATGATGTTTTAAAAACTTCATACTGAAATTTAAGGAAAGAGTGTTGCATTTAGATTGTAGTTCTTGTGCCGACATCTGCCTTAGTTTTATCTAAGAAGAAACAGAAAAGGTTCTACCATTTCAAAGTCATATGTACTTTGTACACTATGCCCTAATTTGCAAACTTTACCTTTACTCAGCATATTACGTTAATACATAGACACAGCCTGAATTTTAATAAAGAAGCAGAGGTGCTTATAAGTTGTATAATTATGTCACTGTGCCAAAAAATATAATTAGTGTATTATTGAGCCTTAGACTCAGATTTCTATTAGAACAAAAGTTACTGGCAGAAAAATACTCATTAGAACTGTCAGAATTGCAGCCATGAAACAAATCACCAGAAACTGGTTAAAGCCAGACAGACCTCGAGTTCAGATGTGGAAGGTCTTTACAAATGAAATATATCTCAATGAGAAAACTATTAAGTGTTTCAGCTTTTTCATAAAAAGAAACCAGGGTGTAAGGTTTGACAAGGCTGCTGGCTAGCTTTCTGAGGGACTGGTTATGGTTATATACCCATACATCTGTCAAACACTTCTGCAACTAAAATGAAATCTACTGAAAATGGGTTTAAGACTACAAAAAACAGTCAATGTGGATTTTTAAAATGAAACACTTGAAACTTACCATAAGGTAGAGAAAGATAAGTGTTCCTAAATTACATTTATACTTGTCATAATTAATAATAGTTCAGGTGGGTAGCTGCGTTAGCATGCGTAGGCTGCAAAGGAACAAGTAATAGGTTTATTCCATGCTGGAAAAAAGAAGAAGAAAGAAAAAACAACGTTTCGGCCGTGGAGCCTTCGTGGAGTCACACCTGAAGAAGGCTCCACGGCCGAAACGTTGTGTTTTCTTTCTTCTTCTTTTTTCCAGCATGGAATAAACCTATTACTTGTTCCATAATTAATTATAGTTTATAATTGTAATAATAAATAAATAGACTCTGATAGTGACCAAAAGTAACAGTAGTATACTTTTCAAATAATAATCATCTGAAATAACATTATAGGGCTATCGAAGAATACAATCCCATAGATTTCTATACTAACCCTCATGATTAGATAAAGAAATAATAATTTAATCTTAAAGGTAAGGGCTGACAAAACTGATTGGAAAGATCTGATAAATACGTAACTATAACAGCCTTTACCAGGTTCTATGAGTAACCCCATAGTAAGGTATACAGAATATTAGCTTTTACAAATAAGTAACCCAACACAAATCATTAATGCTGAACTGAAAACAACTTATTTAACCTAAACCAAAGAATATCAAATGTAAGTTGTCATTCACATGAGACATCATCTGAAAAGCTTAATAAAAATCCTTGTTATTTTATCATAATAGAAAATATTTTTTTTACCTGATAAAACTTTGCAGCTGCCTTTAGTCCTTCATCATTGTCAAGGTTCTGCTCTGAGGCAATCTGGCTGGCCAGTGCACCAATATTGAATAAAACACAGCTCTTCTCATATCCCAAGCTGGCCAGTGCTGTAGAAGAAAAAATATTTTTAAAGCTACAAAAAGTGCATTCCAATCCCAGTTTCACATTTTTCAAAACAGGTGCATTGGAATGGTCTTTCTCTATATAATATTCTGTTCAGTGTAGCTTTCTTGACTTCAGTGAACTTGGTCCACTCCACACCTTTAAATTATAATTTCTCATATTGCCACACTAGCCCGGTTTCAGACAATTAAAAAATTAAAACCATACAGTTTTAACACAATAATAATAATGACTAAGGGTCACATCATGACTGCAGGTTGAATGATTAGCTGTTCAAAGTTACATTTTACAATCATGGCCTGGGCAGAGGGGGACTTGAGCACATTGCATAGGTAGGAAACAGTAGTAGCACAATATGTTCCCATTCTCTTTTGCTTAATGGTTTCCCTCAATTCATCAATTTAATTGGCATACTACTCTAAGGGTAGTTTTGTGTTATATTTAAATCGACAAAAATGGATGCCATTATCTTGGCCATTAACAGTCAAACATAATGCCATCTTGGGTATTAAGGTCCCCTGATGATTCCAGAAAATGAACTTGTTTGGTCACAGGATCCCAACGGACAATCCATGTCTCATCAGCCATGAGAGCTGTTTGTTGGATCCTCATGGAAGATATCTGGGAGCTGACATTCAATTTATAGATGCCTCTTAGATCTGAGGCTTTGGGGCTGAATCTTCCCGTGACCTTAAATATATCATGGATGATCACTAAAATACATCAACCTTTGCCATTACCTTGTTCTATAAACTTACTGACTCACCTTTAATGTGAAGTTTTGACTCTATAACACAGGATTAAGACAAAAGATCTAATACCTTCTTTACAGTACAACAGGCATCCTAATATACTACTCTTGATACTTCTATATACAATATTCAGGACATTTACATGATTTTAGCACTGATTTCAAATGGTAATCTACAAGCACTAATTAATAATCAAAAGCTGAAGAGCTTTACCCTTGAGCCACATATGCAAAATATGGTAAAAACTTAATTCTTCCATCTCAGAAATATTACCAGACTACGTCCTATGTTGTCTCTGACTGTAGTAGAAAAGCTGGTTAACGCATTTGTCTTTTGCCAAATTATTGCAAAGCCCTTCTCACTGTGTATCCAAATGCACATTGAAACTTCAGTACGTCCACAATTTAGCAGTTTCTGACCAGTTTGCGTTCAAGTGATCACATTACTCCTATCCCGATGTCCTTGCACTTCCTATCAGGTTTCGTGCGGATTTCAAAACCCTCATGCTCACCTTTAAGGGTCTACATGGCTCTTTAAGACTTGACACCTCAGTACTTATAATAATAATAATAATAATAATAATAATAATAATAATAATAATTACACTTACATAGCACTTTTCTGGACACTCCATTCAAAGCACTTTACAGGTAATGGGGACTCCCCTCCACCACCACCAATGTGCAGCATCCACCTGGATGATGCGACAGCAGCCATAGTGCACCAGACATCAGCTACGATGCGCCAGCCACATTATCTGCCTACTTTCCACCTTACAATCTTCATTCATCTTATTCTCCTCCTGCTTGTCGCCTAAGCTGGCCCACACTCTATGGGTAATGGGGCCTTCCCCTGCTACGCCTCAAAGCTCTGTAATGCTATCCTCAAGAATATCAGAGAGTCACCTACCCTGAGCACATTTAAATCCAATCTCAAAACCTTCTTCTTCATAAAGGGCTTTATGTAATTAGTGTCTGTTGCTTGCATCTTCTCCTACATTTATAATCCCCTGTGTTTCTTTGTGCTAATTTTATCTTCTATCTTTGTTACCGTTTTCATGTTGTTGTTTTTTTACTTTTCCTGTAAAAGCTTTCAAAGGACCAAAATAAAATAAAGTTTATTATAACACCTTTCCTGTCAATGGTTTCTTTCAAAACAGACATACCTTAAATACAAGCAGTGATAACACTTGTAAAGGGCAAAAAGAAAGAGGACCAATAATAGACATTTAGTTTCTCATTGGTTTTTACATTCTAAGAAAACTGTTGCTGTGCAGCTTACTTGGCATTTATTAATCCAGTTGTAGAATCCATGGTGAATTCTGCACATGCACAGTATAATTTGCATTCTGTTACATATGATACAACATAGAAAAACATACCAAGCTTGACTGAACCACCAAAAAGGGATCCTTTATCAAATGCATCTTTCCATGTGAAAGTCAAACACAACTGAAAAACAGAAAAGTAAAGAACATTTAAAATTTAACCAACCTTACATTCTCTCACAATCTAAAACATTTATGCACATTCAAGGGTAGGCATTTTTATTTTTTAAGGCATTTGGAAATTAACATATAGACTGTCATCATGCTGGACTTCACTAAATCTGGCAAAAAGAAAAAGGTGGCTGATATTCAACACTACTTACATAAATACATACATTAATGAAATACTCAATATTCATACCTGATTCTCAGAGAAGGGAAACTTGGGTTCAATAGCACACAGCTGATCATAGTATCTGAAAAAAGTAAGTTTAGAAACTTAAACATTACACAAACTTATTTAACAATGTTCAATTTTTAATTATTGTATTAAAAAGACTTCTAGAACAGTGGTTCGGTGATGGAACCCTTTTCTGTCTAAGCTAATATTGCGGATCCCCAGCAACCTTTTTTCTTACTTTTCAGGATTATCTATGGTGGTGTTCTGCAAAAAACATTCTAGGAATGCTATTCAGAGGCAATTTAGCCAATTATTAAGGAAGAAACTATTGATTGCTTTTGTTTTAATTGTAAGCATTGTATGAGCCCACTGAGTTTATTTCAGTCATTTATTAATCAGATGAGGCTAGCAGCCATATCACCCTGCAACTCACAACTGGCAGCTCACTAAAGCTAAGCAGGGCTGAGGCTGGTCAGTACCTGGTTGAGAGACCTCATGGGAAAACCTGCAGTTGCTGCTGGAAGTGGTGTAAGTGGAACCAGCAGGGGTGCCCACCCTGCGGTCTGTGTGGGTCCTAATGCAGGGCAGGGACACAATACAGTAGTGGGCGCAGTCTTTTGGATGAGATGTTAAACCGAGGTCCTGACTCTCAGTGGTCATTAAAGATCCCCAGGCATTTCTCAAGAAGAGTAAGGAGTTATCACAGTATCAGCCCTTACTGTGGCCTCCAAATTATCCCCATGTATGACTGGCATGTAGGTGCCCTGCAATGGAGTGGCACCCTGTGCAGGGTGTACCCTGCCTTGCACTCATTGCTTGCCACGTATGTTCTGGCTTCACCATGACCCTCACCAGGAAAAGCAGAAGTGAAAATGGATGGATTAATCACATGATAACTTGTCTACAATTAGCTCCCCAACAGTTCAATAAAGCTTAATCACTGAAATACTCGTTGAGAATAAAAGAATCAAAGTTCTAACTGCCAGTTCAACCAAGTTAGAAGAAAACCAGAAGGGTTTCATTCTGGTTTGAAAAAAAATATTTTTTGCATTGTTGACATAGGGGAAAAAAACTAATGTATTTATAGAACCAGACGAAACTACCAGGAAAAGCTGGTAGCAAAATGACTAAGTAAAACACCGTGAGACAATACATGAGGTTTTTTTAAAAAAGAGTACTGATAATTTTTAATCAATATTTACTTCAAACCAGCAGAAACAGAACAATCTCAGTGTGATAAGTGAGTTTGCCTCTTACTTCTACAATTTGTTTATATTTGGAGTTATGGATGCGAGTTGCAGTCCATTGTTCAACTCAATATCCAATCTGTTGTGATGTTGTGGACACATATGACAAAATTACCATATCACACAGCTAGGTGGTCAAAAACGGGAGACGAACAGAGCCTCCTCTGATAATACTGGATATTTGTTTTTGGTGCTGCACCAAAACTCTGCCAACTGCACTTCATTAAAAGCTGTTTGTAAGGAAGAGTCTGAAATCAGGTCAATGAAATTCTTATATTCTTATGACGTGACATCTCGATTTATTTTTGTTTTTCACATTTTTTTTTTTACTCTCTTGGTTGCAGTAATTTCTAAGCGATCTTTGTACCTAGTAACATGGTATTTTCTCTCATTCCGAGAGTTTTTGAGATTTTCCGGATTGCGAAATGGCAAACATTTTTATCTCCAAACAATGTAGAAGAACAGATGGAAGAGGAAATTTCATCGGACACCTTTGAGGTACCTTCTGGCTCTAGCAGCAAAAGTACATTAATGTATTCAGAGAGTGAAGATGACGTTTCAGAAGATATGCCTGATTTTTCTGACTTCTTGGAGCCATGCAAAACCATTGTAACTCACATTTTTTAGTGATAGCAATTTTTAATTTTTCTTGTAGCCTATGTGAGAGCTCACGGAACCCCTGTGGACGTCCCGCACAAAAGTCATTGTTACAACATTATTGAGTGTTAATGTGCTTTAAACACTAGAAGAAATAATATTCAAAATATGATTTTGTGACACAAAACTTTACAATATCCAGTTGCTATCTAATAATTTCAATTAACTTAATGTGTGTATGTATATGGGGGGGTCAAGAGACTGATAGACACTGAATGCTCTTCAGAGATCGGCGTTTTGTTGTTCTTATCTACACCAGTGCACAGGGTTCAGAATTATCAGGGCGCCATCCCTGTGGAACTGACATTATGTGCACCTGCAAGGCAAATAGTGCCAGTGAGAAATGTGTCTGCTAAGCCATAAAGCTAAGTGTATAACAACAAAACAATTGATAAATTAAGCAATAAAGAACATGCTCAGAGAAATCTCCTGATGTAATACTAATGTCCATATAAGTCATGTGTAAGTGTCACAAGGGACTCGTTTCTCATGTTGTCACTTTTTTTTTTCTGTATCAGCAAAATGCTATCAATATCTACTCCAACTTTTGTCATTTTGTGCGAAACACTGGATGTTGAGCACATTTTGCTGCACAGGGACAAGTTCAGTAGAGACCTGGGTACAGCAGCCATATTTCACATTTCTAACCCCACCCCTCCTTTTATCTTTGAAGAACAGATTGATCACATCACGAATAACTGCCTCAGCTATCATAAATATATGAGCATCAGGAGCTATATATCTGTAGCATTAACCTAAGCAGTGAGCAAGAAACACCCATGCAAAATTAATTTTCACCAGTGGACAAAATCTGAAACGTTTTCATTCAGTTAAGGTCATTTCAGAGTACAAAAGTAAAAAGTCTCAATACAATTACTCACAAGTAAATGATAGTATAGGGTATTGGCAGAGAAAAACTGAACAGTTGTCACACAAATAGAAAACACTGTTTGAAATCCAAATTCCTGAACTCTACTCTTATCGCTTCTGATAAGACATAGGTAAATCTTGCATTTGTTGTTTTTTATGTTATGCTTTATATATTTAAAGCGCAGGAATAAAAATAGTGTGTGAATCCTCATTTTACAGGAGTCTAGGACTACCCAACGTTATGCACTCTTCAGTACATAACTGAAATACACAAAGGTACTGGTATATAATACAGGCTAATTTTCCAGTCAAAACAACTAACTTCCTTATTGTCACTAAACAATTCTCTCCACAATTAACAAATACTGGAAAAACATGAATTTTCCTTTGTTTCCATACCTTGGCTATTGCAGTTACTCCTATGGCACAGGCCTATAAGTTCAACATAATAAAATTAAGTCTTAAAAAACTAAGACAAGTATTTGCTTCTTAAACCTAAATAAACTTGAGATTAGGTAGAGGTGTAAAACATGAGCCATGCCTTAGAAGAAATCACTGTTGCTCTTATAGCTGCCTTGATTTCTTCTTTCTTCCCTCAATCACGTTATGTCAATGTGAGGGCTTCCTTTTTTCTTGCGTCAAACCACTTTGTTCTCAACCCTTCCTCTTTTCGAGATATTTGTTGCCTATATTATATGTATATATAGGCAATATAGGCATTTCTACCAGGATTTGTTAAAGTTGCATTTTTACACATCTACAGATTTAAGGAAAAAGAGTTCTGGGATAAGGAGCCCTGTTAAAGCCAACAACACACACATAAGTATGTGTAAAAACCTGGAACTCCAAATGTAATTTATTGAAATACTTATATACTGTATGAATAATACTTGTATGGTAAAAGATCAGCATATCTGCATGGATATGGTAACATGGTAATGTAGAACAGTATTCTAAATGCATACTCATCCAATTAAATAATGCATCCTCATGCAAAATGGAAACATGTTTTACATTCTGCGTCTGCATAAGTTATAAATTGAAGAATTGATATTGAAGCTGCTTTATTTGCATTCTTCAAACAGTAATAGCTCATCTTGAGCTACGTAGCAAAATTTTTTTCAGAAGTTTTTTTCAGAATGTCAGTTTTACTGTCCTACAGACATTAAACTGCAGAAATAATTTTTCACTAAAGTTATTATGTTCAACATTTACTTAATAACATTAACTTAAGGAAACTCTCTAAATACTGTTCAAATGTCTTGAGCTATTACACATGCAAACTCCCCCAGATTTACATTAGTACCTGTTTAAATACAAGATAAAAACTAGCTTGTAGCTTCTGGTGAGAGTCTCTGTAGGGAAAGATCATCAGAATATGTATCAAATCAGTTATATATATATTTTATATATAGCCATCATCTTACTTCAGCCAATACACCTGACCAATGACTGAATGCATTAGATATGCCTTAATATTCCCTTCCCTGGACAGTGTAGTGCCATAGCATCTTAAACAGGTTCTGAAACTTAGTAACAACATTTTTATGTATTATAAGATCTTGTCTATCAAAACAAAATCTTAATATAAAGATTTAATAAATAAGTCATATTTCTTTACCAACACAAAAGTAGACTGTGCTTAAAATGAGATTAAATAAACTACTGTATGTAACATCATTTAAAGAAAAACTAAAAAACTATACAACATTACTGGAGACAAACAGAAAAACTACTTATATCAATGATCTGAAACAAGTGTCAGCATGCAAAACTTCTTCTGCAAAGAAGTACTACTCAAAAATAAAACAGCTTGGTTTGTTCAATGTTACATAAAAGACCAATATGCACTAGTAAAAGGTGAGTGAATAGGATTCGATTGGTATATTGACAGTGCAGAGCATATCACTCATTATGTCATAACTCGGTGAGTTCTTGTGGTTACAGTGTTGAATGACACAGAGGAAAAGACATTGTTCCTGGTCTGACTCCATTACGTAGCTTATTGAATTTCTGGAACCGTTTTCCTTCGTTATGTAAAATTGCTGAGTCACAGACGAAGAAAGAATACTGTTCATACTGTATGATACGCCTAATGGATCACTACCTTTAATTAACTGTGTTTTGCAGTTGAAAAGCCAGATTCTGTCTATGTTGTATATCAACGATTCCGAAAAATGTAATGGGAATGGTTAAACGTACAGGTGGAGCAGGAACAATATTCGTGACGTCACCAGAGAACACCAACAAAAGTGAAGTTTTAGAGATGTGACTCAGAGACGTTTGAATGAAAGAGTTTATACATTTCGGAACAATGAAGACTTCAGTGAAGGAGAAAAAAAGCGTACAAAAATTATACAGTGGAGAAAAAGTTCGAACTTTATTGGCCTAGAACTGTACGCAGGTAACTTTCCGTTGCGATAAACGATTACATCAATCCCCTTAAATAAAAAAAAATAATAATGTATTAACTACCTTATTGTTTAACTTGATATTATTTTTAACTCCAACTTTAAGCGCAGACAACAGTTAATTTACTTTTGTTGCCGCCTGAAGGAAGATAGCGGCATGAAATCAACTCCTTAATAAATAATGTCACACAAAAGGCAAATGAAGAAAAGACTTACGTATTTTATTACATTTTAATTGCGTAGCTAGCCTGAATTTAAACAGTACACTCATACAACAGAACTCACCTCAGCAAGATCTCCAGCGAGCTTTCATGTTTGTCCAGCGGCCTCCCCAAAGCTGTTTTGCGCAACTTGTTCAGCTCTTCCACACCGCGGATATATTCCGCCTGCTCCTCCCCAGCGGAGTATGTGGAGCTGATAAATTTAGACAGAGGTTTCACTAGGTCCACCTCCGATGATTTCTTTAACGGGACAGAAATAAACGACGCCATTCTTGGGCTAGAGAAAGGAGGAATCTGTCGAACAACAACAACACCACCACCACTACCAACACTTCCTGGGTGTCGACGCAATGACGGGTGGGCGCGCGCTGAGGGAGTGGAGGAAGTGAGTCAGGGAAAAAGTGACGGCGTGTAATACAAGGGCAGCATTACAATATAAGCATTGTTGTGATGATAAGTACTTTAAATCTTATTTTTAAAGAACTCTAGAGAATCCGTTTGAAAATATTGTTTCTTAGAGATTGCTTTCGCTTGTTCAGGATTTATTGCGCACACTCTCTCGCTTAATAAACAAAACAAAAATGAAATCACCGTAATTGAGAGCATTTGATAGAGTAACCACCAGAAGGAGCTCTTGTTAAATGCGTAACAGTTTCTGTTACATTACGTTTTTAAATGATGCCCTCATTTTCGTAATATATTCATAATCATTTTAAGATCTGTGTATACTATGGTGTAACAGATTACAAAAGTCATAATCAAAACGTTATTAATAGTGAAGTCAGAAACTAAAGATAATACATTTCAAATGGAAAATTGGTTTGCTCTATAATTTCCCTACGGGATTAATAAAGTATTATCTATAAAAATCTTATGTAAAAATTAAATCGGTATCTGCAATACAGATCCTGTGGTTTAATAAATTCAAAGCTACAGACCACGAATTATGTATTAAATAATACATTCAAAATGGATAATCCTTGCAGGAAAAATCTAAAGCTAAATTTGTAAAATAAATATTACAATGTTTTTACAATGAATATTTAACATTAATGTAATTCTAACCTGGAGACCACCATAAAAATACCTCAAACTATATGATGTCCAAATTCATTGGGTTCCAAAGCTAAGTTGAATTAGTCAAAATATTACTCCAATGTCAATTTAACATTGTAAGAGCATACTTTCTTATTAATATCCTAGTATTTTAGTTATAAAGTAATATGAAATAAAATCAAAACTAGTTATGAGACAAAAACATAATTAAAATAATTTGGGGATTTTTGGCTTTGGATTTAGGGTCCTTTGGCTTCATTCAAAAACTTGCTGAATGAGTTCCTCGGATCAATTAGCAGCGATCAAAGAAACAGGCTAGATGAGCTGGATGTACTCGTCTCATTTTAAACATGCATTTACATCTACTTTTTTTTTCTTTGAATGTGTGCCTTTATTGTCCCCTAGCTGAAAATGTTAATGTGAAAACTATTTAAGGGTCTCATTTTTTATGTCATTTATTATATATGGTTCCACTGTAGTTTTGTTCTTCTGTGATATTTTATTGAGACCTCGTATTTGGGATAGAAATGAAAAATTATCATTTCTAGCCCAAGAGCAGGAAACATTTATCCATCCCATGCCAACCTTGGAATTAAAGATACACTTCCTTGACTTTTTACCATCTTAAGTTAAACATCTGAAATACAATGGTAGCACTAATTTAAATGCATACTATTTGAATAGAAATTGTATAGAGTTAGACTGTTACGTTCCACATCCTTCCTCTAGAGGGCACTCCTACCCCTTTCGGTTATGATTAATTTCTATATTATTTCCTGGTGCGTCTCGTTCGCTTATTGGTTAAAAGCTTAGCGTCTCTACAGTTCCGGGTTCAGTATTGGATGATGGACGCCCCAAGACTTATTTTCCGGGATCTCCGGAAGCAGGGACTTCAAATATTCAATTCATATTATTCAAATAATATTTTGATCTAAGTTAGTTTTAGGGTTAGAGTTAGAGTTACATTAAATACAAGGAAATCTATCAATTTGAATAGGGTTGATCTTTAAATTTGATTCATACGAGTTTTAATGTCTTTTATTTGGCAAAGATATACCATAGGTCCTAAAACCACAGTTTAGATGTATATCAAACTTGGAAGGAAAACCCAAGACTTCACACTCACTTAATTTAAGGACCTGACAATCATAGTACTAAATTTAACTGTAGCTTAATGGCATTTCAAACTTTCAAACAATGACCTTTGGTCCATCCAAATCCTAACCCTTGTTTTGATGGAATCTCAAACACATAAAATTAAAGGTTCTATGTAACAGCTACATACAGTACAGTATGGAACTAAGTACACAGCTATGTGGTATTCTGTTCCTACTTCGAGAAGTCTGAGCAGTTTATGATAGAATTCATGTTAGGCCTCAAAAATGACAACATCAAATCTGGCTCAAGCTAGCATTTTAAACTAAGGTCAATCCAGACCTTCTACTCTCCTAAATTAATCATTTACTGTACATAAGAACATAAAGCAATGTAGGTTACTTCATGTAGAACATAAGGTAATGTACTATATGTGCACAAAATTACTTTTAAGGATCACACAATTTAAGTGGCTTCTGTCTGTGTATAATCAAATTAGATTACAGATTGCAGAATAAATATATTTACTAAAAGTAATTTACCTCAGTCAGGTACTGAACTTCAAGCACAGATTTAACCGTGAAGACCAGGGATCTTTCAAAACAGTTCAGGAATAAAGCTGTATAAAGGCACATAATCAGTAGAAAAGTATCAAAACATTTCAGAACACCTTAATATCTATTTAAGTATGGTGAAGTTAATTATTAAAAAGTGGAAGGCAGCCATACACTACCTAGATCAGGCTGTCCCTCCAAACTAAACGGCCAGGAAAGGAAGAAAGAGGTTAGGGATCCTCTTGTGAGACCCCTTAGAGTTACATTTTTGTGGCTAAGATGGGAGAAAATATAAGTAGGTCAATAATATCCTGGTCACTCCTCAAAGGGCCTTGAATGGAGCTGAAAGAAACATACTGTATCTCAAATAATGCTTTGGGGTTTGCAACAGGATCTATGCAATACTGCAAACATGTGGCAAAGGGTGTTGTAGTTACACAACACAACATTTTGTACCATAAATGTAAAGCAGTACATTTGATGCAAACCCTACATAGTCCATCATTCAGTCTACACTATGCTTATTGGTACCTGGATGAGAGACCTCCGGGGAAAAACTAAGGCTGCTGCTGGAAGAGGTGTTCGTTGGGCCAGCAGGGGGTGCTCAACCTGCGGTCCATGTGGGTCCTAATGCCCCAGTATAGTGACGGGGACACTATACTGTAAACAGGCACAGTCCTTCCGAGGTCCTGACTCTCTGTGGTCATTAAAAATCCCAGGGTGTTTCTTGAAAAGAGTAGGGGTGTAACCCTGGTGTCCTGGCCAAATTTCCCATTGGCCCTTACCAATCATGGCCTCCTAATAATCCCCATCTATGAATTGGCCTCATTACTCTGCTCTCCTCCCCACTGATAGCTAATGTGTGGTGAGCGTTCTGGCGCACTGGTGGATGCTGCACATTGGAGGTGGTGGAGGGGAGTACCCATTATCTGTAAAGCGCTTTGAGTGGAGTGTCCAGAAAAGCGCTATATAAGTGGAAGCAATTAATTATTGTCAAGCAAATCTTAAGAGGACGTTTCAGACCTAAATCTGGGCCAAAGCTTCACCTTTCAGCAGGATAATGATTCAAAGCACTAGGCCAGAGCAAGAGTGGAGTGACTTAAGAGAAAGTAAATGAATGCCCTTGTGTGGCCTGTCAAAATCCCGACTTAATTCCTATTTGGAATCTAAGGAAAAACATGAAAACTGCTGTCAGTAAGCAATCACCAAGCAACTTGAGAGACCCTGAGAAAATCTGCCAAGAAGAACTGGTAGAAATTGAACCAAGCTGGTGTGCAAAGCTTGCGGAGACTCACCCAGAAAGTGAAAGTAATTGCTGTTAAAGAGTTAGGAACTGAGCTCATAACAATATTATTTTTCTGTTGAAGAATTTTAAGATGCCATTATTGACTCCAAAATGTGAAGCACATAATAATATGTGTCATAATTATATATTTGCAAGACAAATATTTTAAGTACCTTAAAGTAGATAGTACCTTATGTTTTGTAACTGGATTGAGGCAGAAGAGTTTATTGCATCTTTTTATCTGTTTTTCTCGTTATTGCAAATCAAAGATATAGTATCCTTTTCTCCTTTGATTACACCTATACCTTAATGACAAGGCCATGCTGAAGTTAGGCAAGGGTTTCAGTAAAAGTTTAAAAAGTGCATTTCATTCATATTGAGTTATCCGTAGCCATATTTTCCTTATTTCAATATCAATACCATAATTCAGCCATGATTCATATGTCTTCAAAAGCGTATACAGTATATATGATTGTTTTTTCAGTTTGAATGAGTTACGATGTTTCAATATGGGAGGCAAATTATTAATTTCCCTTATGGACAGCAAGCAGTCAGCAAGCAAGCAGTAATAAAACTAGCACAAAACTATTATACAGGCTCTTGGGAGACTGAGAGCCTGGAATTGCTTAAGATCTGGAGCTCTGCTGCAAAGTGTACTGTCCTTACTAGCTGTACTGTACAGTAATAGGCATCTACTGTATATGGAAATCCTAAAAGATCTGGGGTTCAACAGATTAGTTATTACAGATTAAAGGTGAATCAAATCAGGTTGATAATGGAGCAAGTTAAACCCCCCATAATTTCATAATTTCTGAGGCGAATTCTAGACAACTTGGGAAATATAAAACTGTTTTTTCTTTATTAAAAGAGCTTAATTCATTAGCAGACTGTGATAATAATAAGAATAACAACCTTTGAATCAAACCCTTTTCTCCTACAAGAGAACATGTTGCATGTTGTGTTGAAAATATTAACTCTCAGACCAAAGGAGTATGGAAAATCTATTTTCATAACTACAGGTGTTGTTGAAGTAACTTAATTGGATTTTAACCCAGAAGCTTCACTTGGAGCGATTATGACTCAGTAAATTTCCTCCCAATGTCAATTTTACAATGTTATAACTAATGCAGCATAATAGCTGTATACTAAGATCATTTCCAGCCTTTATAGTTTACGTGTCATATAGGTTTATGAATAGCCAGCTATTTATAAAATAACAGGTCTCTTGACATCTGTTGCCAACTGAATGTCTTATTTAGCCTTTTAACCCTTGTTTATGCCGGCCCTTATGCACTACATCAGTCCTTTCTTTTAGCCCATGGCTATAAGCCCGTGAAGTTACAGGACATAAGGCCTTCCACATGCAGCTGTCCATTTTTTTTATCTGACGTTTTGGGTAATTTATACTGTTTTTACTTCCTCAGAGCCTCAAATATTCCGTACTGTAAGGGCCCATGGGAGGTATGTCCCAGTCCTCATTATAGTTATGCTACTGCAATTGAAGTGATTATTGGTGAGACCCTAGTTTCTCTTTCCCCATTATAAGAACATTGTAAGAACAACTGACTTAGAAATCATTAAAGATCACGTTTTCATGACAACAAATTATATAACAGAAACCAGTACTGTGGCTCCCAAGACAGCCATCTTCACAATTTCCCTCCCGATGAGCCAAACTGTGTATTCCATTTCCTAGTTTTATTTGTATTTTATCTTTCATGATATACTCTCCAACGTCTTTCAGTGTATCTTCCTAGATACAACTGCTGCTCCTTGATTTATTTTAGACGAACATCAGCTGCACTGGCTAAACGCACTCCAGTCTGAACATATCTACTAACACACTAGCACATTAGAGCTCCTAACATATTTTCTTCTTTAGGTTCATTTTGATTCATTGTTAAAATTCACTAATTTGGTGGCTTCTTTCTTAACTGCTGAAGTTTTGCAAAACTGCTCATGTTTCACAGCATAATACTGTAATCCATTTCTTTCTCCAATCAGTCTTTGTATTGTTTGGGATCCCAACACTGACCCCTGCCAAACTTTATCACTTCATGCCTTAGCCTTCCTTCTCCATGTGGATCCCATTAAGGTTGCCAAACATTTTTCATCATTTTTGTTTGAATTTATCATGCTTAATAGTTTCTTTAACTATCCAGTTTTCTGTGTAACCATGGTGTTAAGCTCACTTTTAAAATTATGTCATAATAAATGACATGAAAGAAGCACCCAAACAGTTTAGAATCTGTTAAAATGGAAGTCCCAGCAATATAAGCTCACCTTCCAGTTTCATAGGAGCTTTTGCTGAAGTACAATGCAACACGGCAGAGCCTTTACACACACAATAACATATAGAGAATGATAGCTGAATAGTCTGGGTTTCACCACCTTCAAACATGAATCAACAAAAAATCTTAAGGACATAAAAGTTTTAGAAAATAAGGTTGAAGGAGAATTTATTAAATCACTTTTAATGTCATATTCAGAAGGTACACCATCCAAGATTGAAATCTAAAATTATTTTTTCCCTCAGGATTGCCACCCATTCAATATTTAGCTGAAAGACAGACTGTACTTTCTACATAATGTCATTGTCATGGTACAAGTATGAGTTGTACATGTATGGTAAATGTCCTCTTTACAGTGCTTTTAAGTAGATATTTCCCTGTTTCATAAATCTGATAATTTATTAACAAATCTAGAGGACAATACTTTTTAGGTATAATCTAAACACAAAGTTGTGACTCCAAGTAGGATTGGAATGGAATACAATAAACTACACATAAGGTATGCAGCTATACAAAAGTCTTTGGAATATAACACACAATGAGGAATTACAATGTACTGTACACTGCCTTGCAAACGTAATCACCCTTTGCAATGTTTCCACATTCTGTTGCTGTCTGGGCTTGCTATCACAATGCTTTCAAATAAGATTTTATGTTAAGAATACATACTATACTATGGTAAAGTTTGACAGTTATAGTCCATTAAATAACTCCAATGAACCTGTCAAAACTGGAGCAATTCTACTAGGAAGAATAGTGAAAATTATATCATCCTACTGTGCAATGCTGGCAGCAGTCATTTCTACCAAAGATGCTTCCACAAAGTACTAACTTATGGGGTTTAGTACAAAATTCACTCAAAATATCTTCTTTCCAGATTTTGTTGAAATTCAGCTTCCTTCACTATAAGAGTACAGCAGGTTTAGATAACATGGCGGCCTTATGTGAATCACATTTAACTTACCTGCCCAGTATGATAGATGGGGACAAAGTCTAGTCAAGAGCTGAAAAAGGAGCTAAGATTTAGTTTTTTTGTTTGTTTGGTTTGGTTTCTGGCGTCTGTTTTGATTTTCCCTCGCTGTAAAATAAAGAGCACTATTTTCTCAAACTTTACAGCTGTTTATGTACAGTATGTGTCTGCTGTCCTGGACCCAACAATTTTAATAATAGGTTGTCATCACTGTTCATTACTTAAAATTAATCAGAATGTGAAAATATTGAAAGGAGCAGTACACTTTTGCAAATATTCTGCATGTGAAACATCAACAAGGTGTATCCAGTATACAGCAAATATATTTTGATTTATATATTTGTGGCTGGTGTTTGTCTTTATTCAGAGAAATGATGTGTGTGATGCAGTCAATTAATTACACTTTTGCCTAGCATCTCAGGCTTGACAGATCATTGGATAAGGTGTGGGTGTGGTTCTTCAAACCCCGAATTTCTTCCTCCTTATCAAAAATCTGCGAAAAAAAATTAGATATAATTTTCTAATGAGGGCCAAATAGCTAGCTTTAAGAAAATCCTAATGATAAGAGATCATTACTGAAATGCTGGTTCTTAATAATAAAGCAACAGCTTTACTCCTTTAAAAATGTACATCACAGCATACAGTACTTCACATCTTATCTGGGGAAACAAAAAAAGTCTTATACCTGCTTTACTGCATACCAAATCTCTGTTTTGCTAAGGAAACAACGTGCAAGTAATTATTCTTGCCTGATTTTAATAAATAACCCTTAAACCTAAAACTATTAATATAAATGTCAAATTATGAGGACTCTTACATGAAAACATTTTTAAATATTGCCTCATTCCACAGTTCTGGAAAACTTCAAATATACTAAATGTATTAGAAAAGGGAAAATGAAAAAAAACTGGGTGAACCTGTTTATTAAGCTGGGATATGTAATCCACGAGTTGTACTTTCTCGCCGCGGATTTCTGCATTTTCTGTGTGAATCTTGGAGTACTTTCCTTCCAGTTCTGAAAGCAGGCTGCCGAGAGAAGCCCTTTTCTCCTGTGCTGAGCTTTTCACTTGCTCCAGATCATGTAGCTATAACAGAATTACGTGTCAGATCCTATTAAAACGCTTCTCTTTCTTTGAACAAAAATACGAAAAGGCAATATAGATAGCTGTATCAGAACCTTAAGAATTCTAGATACTCAGAACAGAATATAGTGACAAACATCATGGCACCCAGTGACAAATAATGTAAGCTTGAAGTGTCCAGAGTTCAGAGTCTGTTAAACAGGAAAGGGTAAAGATATAGTTTCACCATACAGTTTCATTATCATCTTGAATGAGGAACAATGACTTTTGCAAGGACTTTATACAGTACATTCAATAAAATGGAGAGGATCACAGTTTTCGCTATCTTCAAACAGTGTGGATTTTAAGTGTTGGTGTTACACATAGACTCAGAATGCAATGAAAAACTCTGAACATTCTGCTAAACACGAATTCCAAACAAGTACTTAATGGTAAACGTCCATTGAATAGATTCAAAAAGATTTTGGCAAGTAGAAAGGAATTCCACCTTAATAAGGTAAAGGATTACTATTACCTCTGCCATAGACTGCAAAACTTTCATCTTCTCCTCATTCACTGATCGTTTCCAGTTGGCTAGCTCCCACTCCAGCTGTCTCTCCTGGTCTTTCAATGATGCAAGTTCTGTAATGCTGCTAGATTTGCGCATATTGTCTTCATTCCTAAGCGCATGGAACTGCATAAATAAGCAAAGTGGTGACCACTTAAATGCATGCCTCTGCATAATTACTGCTGATTAGTATTCATACATATGATTTGTTTTTTTTTTATGTATTTGAAAACCCCTCACACAATGTTTTGTGTTTAATATGGTTATTGGTGTACAAATTTGATTTTTATCATCAAACATGATCTTCACTGCCTAAGTAATACTGTATGTGTTTTGCCATTTTACTTTAATTCACCATGTTTCTTTTTTTCTTAATACTCCCAAATAAAAGAGTACCAAATACCATAATGTCATGGAAAGATTGATTAAGGGAACATATTTACGGATTGGTTATTGGGCCTTGCCTAAAACAGTTCTAAAAATATAAAAGTTTAATTTGTAGCATTGGACAGGGCAAAGTCATTTTTGTCATGAATAAAGTATAGACAACATGATAATCACATTTACTCACACCCCTGTAGTTAGTATTTTGTAAATCATCTTCTGGCACGAATAACACAAACAAGATACCTGTGTTATGAGATTCTGGCACTTTTAAAACTAGATTTCTGACTATCCCTCCTAGTATTGCCTTACAGTGAGACTTACTGTTGTCTCACAAAGCACTTGCCACTGGTGGCAAGATGCATCTGTATCCTTTTTCTGCCAGGGTTGACATAAAACTAGTAACCTTAAATATCATAATAATTGACATGAAAGTAGAAAATGGTAGATTCAGTTTTTTGTGGATTCTTTTAAAAATTTCAATTTATGGAGATCAAGCTCTACCCTGATGATACATACTACTACTCAATGTAATAATTAATACTTATAGTTCAGGTGGGTAGCTGTGTCAATATGCGTAGGCTGCAAAGGAACAAGTAATAGGTTTATTCCATGCTGAAAAGAAAAGAAAGAAAACACAACTTATCGTCCATGGAGCCTTCTGAGAAAGACAGGGCAGTAAGCAAAGGTAATGTAGCGGGAGAACAAAAGCTGGGAGAAAGGAGAAGCGAGGGGCGGGAGCAGGGGACAGAAAGAGAGGTGTGAAATGAAACCTACAACAAATAGAGAGAATTTAGAAGAAAAGTAGTCCGTCATTAAAGAGAAGGGGGAAGGTGTGATCCTAGCTGCAGGATAATTTTAGTTTCTGTAGTCTTTCTGATGCATAAGTTTGGAAAACCATCTTTGAGAACACAGACGGAGAGATTAGTGTGATCTTAGCCATCAGAGGTGAAATGAGAAACAATGGAGTTGGAGAGATCTTTAAACTTCACAGCCCTAACATGTTCTCTGAAACGGTCTCCGAGTCTCCTTCCTGTTTCTCCAATGTAGATGGCTGGGCATTTATCGCAAGAGATACAGTAAGGTTGCTGGAGGTACAAGATACAATCTGGGTGATCTGGAATTGTCCTGAGGGGCCTTGAATGAGTGTTGTGTTAGATATGTACTTGCAGGTGATACAGCGAGCTCTGTTGCAAGGGAAAGTGCCTGGTGTGGATGGTTGCTGAGGGCGGTCAAGGGAGCTATGAACAAAAAGGTTATGCAGATTAGGTGGTCGGCGATATGAGATGATAAAACAGTCAGAAAAAAGGGCCCCAATGGAGGAATCATTCTGTAGGATGGAAAAGTGGATAGGAAGTGTGTTGGGGTGGTAGTGAAGCACCAAAGGAATGTGGTTGTTGCGGCAGAAGTTCGTGATTGAGTTGATGGTCCGAGGGGTGTTTTTGGCTCAGGCAAGGGCACTGTCAATAACACTGCTGGGGTATCCTCTGTTGATGAAAAAGGAGTACATTTTGAAGGCTTGGTTCTGGAAATCGATTAATTAATACTTATGGCATATAACATTTGTTTGTAAAAGGAAGACACACTAGGTGGTTGTTTGTTATAGAAAATAGCAGATGTTGTGAACTTCTGACCCCTACCTTTTCAAGCTGCTTGGATACTTCTGTTATTTGTGAAAGGAGCTGTGCATTTTCTTTGGTTAGTCGTCTACAGTTTTCTGCCAGTTTACTCTTCACATAGTCATCCTCTTCTCCCGAGAGCTGCCTTTCTGTCAGCTGCATCCTCAGGTGTCGTATCTCCTCACTGAAAAGCAAGATTATTGTTTTCAGCTTTCCTGTGGACTGAAAACAATATTTTTCCCCAGAATGACAATACATTTTATGTGATTTATTGTAACCAGCATTTGTGCAGACTCACATTAAAAAAATCAAAGGTATCTGCCATTCAATTGTAATGATTCATAGCCGTTCAGGGACGCCAAATATGTAATGTTGCCATAGCCAAAATGTAATGTAGTGGCTCTCTGAAGGCACCAGTTCTGTAGGGTTTGGGCATTTACTGAGACAATTATTAATTGTAGCAGTAAATCACAAAATTGATTCTTTTGATGGCTTTAGAATCCAACCTTGCGATATAACTCAAACAACGCACACACACAGGTACTAATACACTAATACAGTATTTATTAATACATAGAATATGCGTATAAAACCTAACAGATCTTATCGAGAGGGTTATCAGAATACAAAAGGTATATATTCAGTCAGTTGCAAAGTGTTACACATATCAAGAGGACATACGTTCAGTATATCATTCATTAAGACCGTTTCGTAAATGTACTTGGTTATAACTTCTACATCAGATACTCAAAACAAGTACATAACTCTTAAGAATTAAATTGATATCAACTGGTTGGGATAACAATTGAATTCTCGAGCTGTAATGCATTGAAGTTGAATACTCATCCAATCTCTGGGGATTCAGATCTCCTGCGGGCACAAAGAAACAGTTGCAGGCTGTTGCTGTCCAATCCGCGCTCTCTGGCTGCGTGCCAGGCTGTGCTGTGCGGCTTGCGACGGTGCGCTGCAGATGCTCGCTGACCGGCTAGTTAGTGTTGGCTTTAACTAGCAAAGTTTGTGCACAGGAGAAAAGATGACTGTGGGTCCCAGCAAGTCAGGAAGAGGACCGGTTCGTTCCTGGTGAAGAGCTAGTTCTGAATAGTGATTCAGCTGTCCACAGTTCTGACCTGTTCACGAGGCCTGCTGCTGGTGCTAACCTCGGGTGGATCCTCTGGTTACTCTCTGGCAACCTCCGATCTAGACTCTTAGAACAAAGGAAAGTTCTGACACTCGGACACACTGGCCGTTCCGTGGTTGTCCGGGCTGAGTCTCAAGATGGTCAGGAGGCGCGCTGCGAGAATGTCCTGCCCTTGGGAACCTTCTGCCCCTGGGCCGTCCTGCCCTGGAATTATCCTTTGAATTCCCTTTAGAACAGTCCACATAATTCTCCTGAATCTTACTGAATCTCTCAGGCTCTCTGTGTTGCCTGTTTTTATCTGGAGGAACTTCAGCTCGTTGATTGGCAGAAAGTTCCATGGGCATCAGAGTCCCACGTGGGTTACTCGGCCATACCAGTCCCTGATTGGTTGATCAAGGTGAGATATGAGTCACTTACTCCTGACACTTAGGAATGCAGTCCAGATGTCCATCTGGCACTCCCTAGACAGATAGGCGCCAATGGATGACCATTGATCATGATAGCCAGGCTTAGCTAAGTGCATCCCCCTTTGGGAGCTGTCCTTTTCCTAATCAAAGGAACCTTAAATCAGCCTGCATGAATAGTTTCTCTGTGGCTGCACCACAGAGATGAACAGAGAAATGGGGCCTCATTTGGGAAGCTCAGAAACACTTAATTCTTTCTTATTAATAAGCCTTGCCGCTACACAATAAAACACATGCAAGATAAAAAGTTAATATTTAGTGTAATGAATGGGGTGTGTTACTTGACGTTTCCTCACCGAAGCTCTTTGGCAATGTGCTCTTGAATGGAGCCTGTGCTTGTAAGATGTTTCTCCTCCAGACAGTAGAGAGAAGCCTGTGCTTCCAGCAGCTCTGCTCGCTTCTTTGCCAGCTCTGCTTCTGTGCTCTGCTGATGCTGCACCTTCCATTTCAGCTGAAAATATAAGTACGGGATTCAAGCAAAGACACATCTCTTGACAAGACATCTGAAGGGACCACAATACACCAACAGGAACCAAGCCTTATTCAGATTAGGTTTGTTTTTAAGATTTTGCGATGTATACAAAAAACACTGTCTGAAAAAAAAATGTATATGACAAACATTAAGCAAAATGGATTTGTGAATACACTGTATAACAAATTTTTAATTTAAGAAAATGTTAACACCATGCACATAATATATTCTTTCCTATTTGTTTTTCACAAAGATGTATAGAAAAAAGTCAACCTGGGCTTCCAAAAGCCTGATCTTTTCCTCTTTCTCTTTGACAGTAATTGATGTTCTCTCCAGCTCTCTTTTCATATTTAATAGCTCCTTGGTCTTGTGGTCCAAATCTTGGCTAGTAACCTCTTTCAGTTTCTTTAGTTGTTCCAGCTCCACGGTCAATAGCAATTTGTTTCTGAAGTTAGTATCTAAGGAAAAATATGCAATGAAGCATTTTATAATACACAAAGTATAAACTCCTATGGATAAAATACTGTTTTCAGAAAGCTGTCGATTAAAACAAAAGTTGGCTGTTATGTATTCCATTCACCCAATATCAGAAAAACCACTTATTTTTAGTGTGGGCTGGGACAATCCAGATCCTTACCTGGAAACATAGAGCATAAAATGAGATTACACTCTGAATTGGATATCAGTCTACTGGAAGGCAAACACAAGCACACAGGGACAATTTAGAGACAATAACCTAGTCAACATACTGTATCTTTGGAAGATAAAGCACACTGTATTTGAAATAACCCATATGAAATACACAGAGAACATGAAAGCTCTACACAGAAGACACTTCTCTCCAGAATTCCTTCGTGGAGCGTGTTCCTACCACCCAGGCCTGTTTGGACTGACTTGGGCTCCAAGCATCCTTCAACAAATTAATTGGTTCTGTTGTAATCAACCCATTTTACTTAAACCCTGCACTGCAACTTTACACCAACTGGGAGAAAATATACTTTGCAAAGAAAACCACTTGAACATTAAATTTGGCAAAGAAAATCAAACTAGTAACATTTATTTCTTTAACAGATTCGAAACAGGGTCCACTGTCCATTCACCTCAGACACCCTCTTCATGTCCTCAGTCACCCCATCATGTGATCCCTCCTACTCCTACTCCATCTTCCCCTGCCCTCCTCGGCCTATCCATCACAGGTGACCAGGTCAGAAGGGAGTTGAGGAGACTCCATGCAGGGAAGGCAGCGGGTCCTGATGGTGTCAGCTCCAGGGTGCTAAAGATCTGTGCGGACCAACTGGGTTCAGTGCTACAGTACATCTTCAGAAAAGGTTCCGATGCTCTGGAAGATGTCTTGCCTGGTGCCAGTACCCAAAAAGGGGCACCCTAAAGTCTTGAATGACTACAGACCAGTGGCACTTACATCACACCTAATGAAAACTCTGGAAAGGCTTGTACTGGACCACCTCAGAACCCTGGTGAGTACAGCACTGGACCCCCTGCAGTTCGCCTACCGGTCACACTTGGGAGTGGAGGATGCAGTCATTTATTTGCTACACAGAGCTAACTCTCACCTGGAGAAGACGGGGAGCATTGTGAGAGTTATGTTCTTTGACTTCTCCAGTGCCTTTAACACCATCCATCCACCTTTACTGATAGATAAGCTAAGGGCGGCGCAGGTGGACAGTCCCCTGCTGTCCTGGATTATAGACTATCTGACCTGCAGGCCACAGTATGTACGGCTACAGAGCTGTGTGTCAGAACAGATTGTTAGCAGTACTGGGGCTCCACAGCGGACTGTCCTTGCTCCATTCCTGTTCACCTTTTACACCTCTGACTTTAGGTACAACTCTGAGACATGTCATCTGCAGAAGTTTTCGGATGACTCTGCAATTGTGGGGTGTATTAGTGAGGGGGGGGAGGAGGAATATAGGAGCTTGATTACCAACTTTGTGGAGTGGTGTCATCTTAACCATCTCCAGCTTAACACCAGCAAGACCAAAGAAATGATCTTCAACTTTCGAAGGAATAAATTACTTAGGGGTACAGCTGGATGATAAGCTGGAATGGTCTGGTAACACTGACGCCCTGTACAAGAAAGGTCAGAGCCAACTCTATTTTCTTAGGAGACTCAGGTGTGTGTGGAACACTGCTACACATTTTTTATGAATCAGTGGTGGCGGCAGCCATCTTCTACGCTGTTGTGTGCTGGGGCAGCAGCATCATGACAAAAGATGCAAATAGGCTCAATAAACTTATCAAGTAGGCTGGCACTGTGTTGGGGATGAGCCTTGACCCCATGGAGGTGGTGGCTGAGAGGAGAATGCTGACCAAGCTCACAGCCATCATGAACAACACCTCTCATCCGCTTCATGGGACTGTTACTGGGCAGCGGAGCACTTTTAGCAACAGACTGCTCCAGCTACGGTGTTCAAGGGAACGTTTCCGCAGGTCTTTCCTCCCGGCGGCTGTCAGGGTGTATAACGCTGCCCTAGGCTAGGACTGTTAGCCCTTCATTTGCTCATCTATGGACAGCATGTTTGCTCCATTGTACTTTTTGGACAATCAGTCTGTATAAACCTATGCACATTTTGCACATATTTTTATTGTTTTTACAGTGACTATGATCATCACATTTTGCACACACCTATGTATTTATTTTTCTATTTATTTATTTTTATTTATTTTGTTGTCTTTTGTTTTATAGCTATTCTGATGTCTGTTTTTGCTTGTCTTGGGCTGAACTGCTGTAACACATCAATTCCCTACGTTATTAATAAAGTAATATCTATCTATCTCTCTATCTATCTTATTTCATTTTAGTACCCACCCAGCAGACCTTGTATGCCTTGGATGCATTATCTGGTTTAAAGAAGCATTGTATATCAGTTTTATCTTGTCATGCAGTAACATAAAAAAATAATTTAAATATTAATGACTAGAGTTCAGAATCTGTTAAATAATATACTGTATATCTTATATAGATTCGCCTTATATTTGAGGCATTATCAGATACATAAGACAGTAACACCCAGAATGTTCTTCTCCTGTGATCCTGCCCATTTGTATTGAGTATATGAAACACTGTAGCAGTCACAGACCCTCATCAAAGGCACTTATGAAACTATATGTTGAACCATGTTAACACTCTTTTGAACAACACTAAAACACCTTAATTTAACATTTTAACTGAATTATGACACCTTTTACAACACAGTGTCTCATATCACCTAACTTGCCTTTGATTTAGCAAATTCTCATTCAGAGGATAAATCCCACCTACTGGTCTACCAACAACACAGGCAGCAGCAACCTACTTTTACTTACACCCAATGTCCCACCCAAGAAACCAATCCAGTTCTGAACCTCCTAATAACAAATAATGCTCTATAACCCCCTATCAGAAAACATAGTTACATCTGGTCCTGAATGATAAGACTAAGTAAGTTGAGTTGTGTTTTTGAAAAACTGTAAAGTATTATAAATGCTGATATTGCATAATTTACAAAGTAAGGCATAAAGATTACCAGTCATGGACTGAAGCTCGCATTGCAGTTGTTTCTTCTCTGATTTCAGACTTGCAATGCACTTATCCTTTTTATCAACTGACATGGTGGCACTGTCAACCTCTGCTTGCAAAGCCTTCATGATTCCAGGTCAATGAGTTAAGGAAAAGAAAATACACAGGATTACATTTTTTAAAGATCAATAATACCAACACCAGGAAATACAAATAGCATAAACAGATAATATGGAGATGTCAGAACAGCACTTTTAATGTAGTCCTATTACAAGAAAATCTTATCTAGTATGAAAGGAATTAATTTATTGCACAAATAATTTGCACTGCGTAGTAATTAAATTACAGTAATTACAGTACTTGGTAAACTTCAAATATTTGATTTCTCCATTTGTTGCCTACGTATTTAAAACCGGATGGGAGAACTTTATTAACTAATCCCTTTTAAAGGAAAATAGGGGACAACACTGTGATGTATCTTCAGTAGAAACACCTGTCTGTTCAGTATACAGATACTGAAATTAACCAGAGTGTTGGTAATATCAGGGTATGCTGCACATAATTACAGTAAATATTTTTGCAAACTGCAGGAATAGTCTGTCTAACGAAGGTGAGATTCTATTGTTTGTAGTAATGGGAAGAGACGATTATCATGTAAACTCTCTGTAAAGATATAATGCTGTGTGTTTTTCTGCTACTGCAAGTTTGTCACTGATGTTAAAAAATTGACAGCACCTAGAATGAAGAAGATAAGATTACAAAAAAGCATTAATCAATATATAATTACATCAAAGTACTGTACCATGGAGACTGGTATAGAAAACAGTGTTTATTGCTTAGCCTTAAATCTATTCAATTCCAAGTCAATCTGGCAGATAAAAAAGTGTGTTCCCTATCACAACATAAGAAACACTGTACCTACTATTCGTTCTAATAACTTCTTCCAGCATCTTGAATCATTAATAAGAGAACACTGGACATTTATCATTTAAAGACTTGAAATCACAATTATATGTAAAATGAAAAAAGTACCAATTCATTAATTATTGTTTTTGACATAACAACCAATTTGAGAGTAGAAAATATTGTCTTAAAACAACAAATATCAAACTCCTTTTTAAAAAGAGTTAATAGTGATCTGATGAACTTGCTGGCATAATAATAACAGGAAAGGAGTGGAAAAAAGTGTTTGAG